GCGGATCTGTGAGTTCAAGGCCAGCCTGGTGTACATAGTGAGTTCAGGTCAGCTGGGACTACAGGGAGACCCTGTCAAAAAAGATGAAAAGAAAAGCACCACCATAGTTGTGCTTTGGAAACCATCAAAGGGTAGTCTGAGAACTGGAATTTGACCTTCTACAGGAGGATGATAAGTCTAGGTCATCCTGGGCTACATAAAGAACCTGAGGCCAAGCCGGGCATGGTGGCACATGCCTTTGATCCCAGCACTTGGGAGGCAGAGGCAGGGGGAATCTGTGAGACCAAGTCCAGCCTGGTCTACATAGTGAGTTCAGGTCAGCTGGGGCTACAGGGAGAGCCTGTCTCAAAAAGAAAAAAAAAAAAAGACTTGAGGCCAGCCCAGGATACATAAGATCCTATCTCAAAAGAGAAAGGGGTAGGAGGAGGAAGGAGGAAGAGGAGGAGGAGGAGGGAGGGAGGGAGGGAGGAGAAAGAGGAAGAGGAGAGGGAGATGACCTTGTGGCTCAAGAGCTGCTCCCTCTACTGTCCCTCCGTCCTCCAAGCTTGGTCAGTAGAGTGGTTTTAAGACGGTATAGCAGAGATTGCTAGTCCATACAGCCTTCTGGCTGCCTTTGAGGAGATTACTAAATGTTCCTTGCTACAAGATGCCTTTTCCACATCAGTGAGTGTCACTCTCTCAGAGGAGGATTTTCGAGCATGAGGTTGCAGCTGTGAGGACATGCCGCAAACACTAGATGACCCTAGAACCACTACCACTGATGAGTCTTGAGAACAAACCCATGAGAAAAGCCCAGTGGGAAGTAAGAGCTTTCTCAGTTCGGGATGACTGAACCTGAATGTGATCCCCTGTCCATATTCCCTCTCCAGGGAATGGGAAAGCCTTGTGGCCAAAGTTACAATACCCTGTTGTACCCAGTATGGGCTGCCTCTGCCTTGGGAGTGCTGGGGTTAAAGGCCTGTGTCACCACACCCAGTCATTATGGGTTTGTTAAGCTCAGTGGTACAGACCTGCTAGCCTCTGGCAGCAGGCATTAAACTGGAAGTACAGAATCCACAGAGAGTGCACCAGTCCTCGTAAAGAAACCATAGCAGCAAGAGCTCAGAGTTGCTACACTTCATATTTAGGATCTTTAGTTTTCAGCAACAACCAAGAAACGTCGAGACATACTGAGAATTAGGATTTCCAGAGGGCTAGTGGGATGGCTCAGCAGGTAAGGGTACCTTCTGCCAAGCCTGGAAACCTGAACTCGCTCTCTGAAGCCCAGCTGATAAGGAGAAAATCAGCTCCTGCAAGTTGCCCTCTGACCTCTACATGCATGCACACATACATATACGTACAACAGATGTAATGTAAGTTTTCTTTAAAAAGGAAAAGCTATATAAGACTATAGCTGTAGTATACCCAGGGATGCTGCCTACAGTGTTCTGGGGTGGCTTAACTGAGGCACAGCCTGGACGTTACCCTCTTTGAAGAACAAGAAAAAAAGTAAGAGAAGTTAGGAGAGTCTCACTGGCCTATGGCACAACATCTGTGGTACTCTCCTTCTGGAATAGGGGTCCTAGGAACAGAGAACAACAGGAAGATACTTTTCTAAACAGTGGCTGAACACTTCCCAGACTCACTTTCAAAACCAGAATCCTGTGTCTCTACATCCAAGTGACTCCACAAGCCCCACCCAGGGAAAACAGCTCTACAATCCAGAGGATCTCCACTTCCTATCAGGATGGCGGAGGCAGGGGTGTTAGGAGTAGCATCTGTACTGCTGAGAGAGATTTCAACTGGGAATTAAGTCTGTGTCTGGCACATTTCTACAGAATGGAAGGGGAAATAAGGACATTTCCTGGTAAACAGACCAGTACAGTTCTTTGTTAATAAACTGATCTTGGAAGATATAATAAGGAAGACTTTGAGGCTGAGCAAAGTGACCCCAATGATAGCATTGCACAGGAAGGAAAGAAAGGCTGGGCGGCACACCTGCACATCAACAGCAGGGGAGTCAATGCAGATGTGTCTTCTGTTCTCTTTACCAGTCCTGCAACAATAGCTAATGCAGCCCTGTACAGAACAGAGCATCACACAAGGGAGACGGGAGCTAGAATACAGCAAAGTGTATTTCCCTGGTAGTATGAATCAGATGTCACATGTCGAACCTGCAGGCTACAGGTAGTTATGAATGCAGTCCAGCACAGAATGAGAAACTCAGATCTTGAGATTTTTGTGGGTTTTTTTTCTTTGCATGGTTTTGTTGTTTTGTTGTTGGATTGCACAGTTCTCTGAACATTGTAGATGATGTCATTTCACATTGTCAAAAGGTTAGACATGCCTGAAGGCATTCATGTTGGAATATCTAGAATGATCACTAAGAAAGCCACTTTAATGGAGGTACACACCTTTAACCTCACTTTCGTCTTTAATCCCAGCTTTCTGGAGGCAGAGACAGGCAGATCTCTGAGTTTGAGGCCTGCCTGTTTTACAGAGTGAGTTCCAGGCCTGCCAGGGCTACATAGTGAGACCCTGTCTCACCCCTCCCCCAAAAGTAACAGGAATTACAGTAGTATTTCAAGCGTTCGTATTTAAAAATCACAGAAGAAAATCAAACCTGGAACTTGAGAAGCACAGAACTTTTTATCTAGCCATAGGAACATGAAAAATGAGGAATTTAGCCACTTGGACATTTCAGTCACCGAGTGTCCTGCACCCCAGGTGACACCTGCCTTGTTTTCAAGTAGCTAGTCCCTCTGCTGTCCCTTCATGTTCACACCACATTTCTCAAGTTATGTTGGGAAATGACCTAGGTTCATTTGCCCAGAACCCACTGAGGGGAACTCAGCCCTCAGGTGTCAGAGGTGTGCCTACCTCTCTGTCTCCTTGTAACTGAGTTCAGTTGGGCTGCCTTCTGTTCTTAGGGAGATGCATACCAGCAGAAGCAGTAGAACCAGTGTGGTGGGTTCTGATGGATGTTCTCTTGGGAGCTTTGCTTTGTCCTGCAGTGGCTCAGGAACTGCTAGGTGATGTGTGCCTGTGTATGACCCTCAGAAGCCATTTGTGGGTTACAGTGTGCAGAGACACTTCATAAATTGAGCAGAAAACAAGATGTTCTTCTTGGTGTTCTTCTTCCAGGGACCGCCTGGAGCAGTTAGAGAGGAAGAGGGAGCGGGAGCGGAAGATGAGGGAGCAGCAGAAGGAGCAGCGGGAGCAGAAGGAGCGGGAGCGGAGGGCAGAGGAGCGGCGCAAGGAGCGTGAGGCTCGCAGGGAAGGTAGGAGGGAGGACTGCCCGCTGCCTCTGGGGGGCTTCTCCCTGGGGGGGTGACTGGTAGTGCCAGGGTCTGCCATCACCTTTCCATATATATGGCTTGCCCTGCTGGAGTGTGAATGCTGTGACAGCCTTGGCTCAGCCTTGGGAAGACATCTTCAAGGGTGAAGAGGCGGGAGGGGTAAGGAGAGGTGGCACTATCTGCATCCAGGCCTGGCTGGTAGATGCGCCTCCGTAGACGTGTAGTAAGAGGCAGTTCTTGGCTCCTTTTTTTCCTGTTTTAAAAAGTTGTTCAAAGTGATAGAAATGACCGTTTTGTCCATGTTAAGTGTGCCTAGAGCTGAGATTCTGTCCATCTAGCAACACTCCTTTTGAGCCCAGTCCCTGACCCTCCCCATTCTGCTGAGTGAAATCAGTCTTCTGTCTTTCTGTGACTGGATTATTTCAGTCAGCTTAAAGTCTTCAGGGCCCACCCATGTTGTAGCTTGTGTCAAACCTTCCTTTTGAAGGCTGGCTGATAGGAGAGACTTAGTTTGATACTTTACTCTTTATATCCACATGCTTGTTTGCATTTTCCCTCATTTCCTGCATTACTGTCATCCTTTACATCATTGATCTCTCTGTTGATTTATTTAGAGGCCATGTCTTCCTGTAGCCCTAGCTGGCCTTGAACTGACTAAGTAGACCAGGCTAGCCTTGATGTTAAGGAGATCCAAGTGCCTCTGACTCCAGAGACCTGGGATTAAAGGCATGAGCCACTATGCCTGCCTATATCACTCTTTCTTTTTAGGGGGATGGGGTCTTTTTGAGATGGGGTCTCCCTGTAGCCCCAGCTGTCCAGGAACTCAATATGTAGACCAGGCTGGCCTTGAACTCACAGAGATCCGCCTGCCTCTGCCTCTGGGATTAAAGGCATGCACCACCACACCCAGCTGCCCAAGAGGAATTTTAACTGGTGGGTTTCAAGGAAAGAGGCTTGAGTTCAGGAGGCACCACCACGCCCGGCCTCCAACCTCTCTCTTTAAACAAAATATTTGAGTTCCTTTCTTAATTTCTCTGTGTGTGTTCTACCTCTGGTTTTTGTGTGAGGGTATGTGTGGTTTGCCATGGGTCACATAAAACATTCTGTAGTTATAAAACAAATTTGAGGTGATACCCACTTCACCGAGTAACGTGGAAACCCTGTTGCTTTCCTCTCAGCCCATTTTAGTTGTTCTTGCCACAAAATTACATTTTCTATGTTATGTCCATAAACTGGTACCTTTAAAATGCATCAACCTATGAAATCATGGAACAAACAAAAGGTGGAGAAACGGTTGTTTCCTTATACTAGACACATCCAAAGACTGAGAGCCCTGAAAGGGTCCGCACTGTAATGTGTCTCAGGGTTTCTGAGCTCATCCTACTTAGAGAATGTTGAGTAGAATGAATGTTAATATTCAAGTCTTCTGAAAAATGTGAGTTCTCAGCAGTGACCTCTGTTCCTTCTTGGACTGGGCAGTCACAGTTGGTCTTGGAATCCCACAGGTGCTTTCTGGTCTGGGCATCTTTCTTTGGTAGTTTTTCTTTCTGTTTCTCAGTTTCCATGGCAGTGTCTTGCAGTTCATAGTCTTTCTTCTGCCTGCTTAGATCTGCTACTGACTCTCTATGGTGGATTTTGCATTTACTGCTAATCTTTTAGAGTTCCTGTCTTTCTTGTTTTTATATTGGGCTGCATAACACAGATACGCTGTAGCCTGGGATGATCTTGAACTCAGCCTCCCAAGTACAGGCTTCGCCTCTAGACCCTGCTGGGTTTCCTGTGTGGTTTATTGTCATCTTCATGTTCCTACTCCATTTCCTTGATGTTTCGCCACATCTTTTGTTCTTTGAGCATCTTTGAAATAGTGGATTTGATGTCTTGTTCTTTGTTTCCAGGAAGGCTTGTTATTCCCAGGAAACAGTGACTTAAGGAACCCTGTGAATAGGCGGTGCTGTTGGAGGCATGGGGGCATCTTCACTGTCTTCATACCTGAGTGGGCAGCGCTCTCAGGAGTAACTGAGCCCCAGGTCCAGGATCTGTGACGTGGATTCTGGCATGTAGGGCAGCAGAGCACAGCCCTTTGCATGCCCTGGGCCATGCCTGGGCATTCTAGATGACAGCACATGCCGAGCACTCACCTCCATCGGTAACCCTGGTCATGCAGCAGACAGTTTCTTTGTCAGAAAGGTTAAGCATGGAACCAGGGTGGCACTGAAGGACTCACATGTGTGGACACTAATCACACACCTTCTCTAGGTCGGATATAGGCTAGTGATCTCTCTCTTCTTCCCTTCTCCTGAGGCTCTTTCTATAAGTAATCTACAGACACCTCCGTCAGGATCTGAAACCAGGCGTACATCATGGGTGATTCATTTTTTTCTTTCAAGTGAACCAAACTTTGCTGTTTCATTGGATTTGTTATGAACATGTGTGTGTGTGTGTGTGTGTGTGTGTGTGTGTGTGTGTGTGTGTGTGTGTTTTAAAGCTGATGTTTGTGGTGATTCTGGAGATCAGACCCCTCCTCTGGGCTTGCTGTGGCTGTGTTGTGATTGTTGATGCTGTCTCTGCTGACAATGCCTGGCACATCCTCCTGGGTCAAATATGAATCTGTACCTGTTAGGAATATGCGGTCACTTTTTGGCTTCCCTTGTGTATACAATTGCTTCAGTGGTCTTATCCTTAAATATTTGGCTCCCAAAAAAGGACAAGAGAAAATAGAAGTGGGCACAAGAGCCCCAACCCTCAGTCTGGAAGTCTCCCTAGCCAGAGTGGTTTTTTTTTGCCCCATGGGGCTGTAGGCAACAACTAGAGCATAGGCCCTTCGTGAGTCAGGGACAAGGTCCTTTTCACTTGCTGTGGTCCTGTAAGCTACTCTGGGAACTGCAGCCAGCCCAGCTCTTTTCCCTGAGGATGGGAGATAGGCGTTAAGGAGGAAGCTGCTGTGCTAAGAGCTAGCCAGAATTAACCAATTTGCCATCCAAGCCTCCTCCGGACTTTGCAGGCCTTCAGCAATTCCAGTGTTCCACACTAATTGTGTCAGACGGGCTCTGCAGGCCCGGCTGTTGTCAAGGTGCTGCCTGGCATTTCTCACTCAGCCTTCTTCCCAGAATTCTTTTCTACCTCTACCTCTATGACAAGTGAAGATCAGTCTTGAAGTTCCCCTAGTCAGCTCATGGGCTCCAGCTTGGAGCTTTTTCCTACTGAGTTGTTGGCCTGTAGCTTTGAAGCTGTGTGTGCTCATGCTCCTGGTGGAGTTTGGGACATGCGTGGGTGGCCATTCCTAGGGTGGGGCATGTTGAAAAGACTACTGCCAGTAACATCTCTGCTCTGCTGTGTGTGCACAGTCTCTGCACATCACCGCACCATGAGGGAGGACTACAGCGATAAGGGCAAGACTGGCCACTGGAGCCGAAGTCCTCTGCGGCCACCACGAGAGCGCTTTGAGCTTGGAGACAGCCGGAAGCCAGGTGAGGCCAGGCTTGTGCTTGCTTCAGGCTAGTATAGGGTTTCTTTGCTGGGGGGATATTTGAATATAAAAATTTACATTTTTTTAAAACAATTATGGGATTATGAAAATGCCATAATGAGACACATTACTTTGAGTGCTAGCCTAAAAAGTTTGGAACTGGGCCTGGTGGTACACGTCTTTAATCCCAGCAGAGAGGCAGGTGGATCTACTGAGATCCAGGCCAGTTTGGCCTACATAGGGAATTCCAGGCAAGGTGGGGCTACATGGAGACCCTGTCTCAAACCGTCTCCCCCCAAAAATAAAACAAATACAAAAATAAAAATTTTAAATCGTGGAATAAAGAATTTATACAAGTAATGAAAATCTTGCCAGGCAATTTCTTTTCTACTATAAAATTATGTACCAGTGGGCCAGAAAGATGGCTTAGCAGGTAGGGGCTCCATCCAAGTGTGTAAGTGGAACAAGAGGACCAATGCCTGCAGGTTGTCCTCTGACTGCCCAATCTCAGTTTATCAACTGAGATGTTTGTGCTGATCTTTTGCAGACCATTCATCCAGGTAAATGCCTGTGGGTGAGCTGTTTTCCACGCACAGTAAACTTGATATTATGTAAGCTACATAAGTAATTAAAAAATTAAAAACATTTCCTTAGTGCTGTGAATATAGCTCTGCTAGTAGCATGCACATAACCCTGGATTTGAACCCTAGCATTGCATTAAAAAATTGGGCATGGGGCCAGGTGTGGAGGTGAACACCTTTAATTCCAGGGCTTGGGAATCTCCAACTTGGAGACCAGCCTGGTCTATCTAGTGAGTTGCAGGACAACTGGAGCTACAGGGAGACCCTCTCTCAAGATTTAAAAAAAAAAAAAATTGGGTTTGGTGAAGTGTACGTGTAATCCAAAACCTTAGGCAGTGAAAGCAGAAAGATCAGGAGTTGGGGTCATTCTGAGCTACATAGTAAGTTTGAGGCCAGCCTGGGAAACATGACCCTGTCTCAACAAATAACATAAACATTTCCCCAAAGTAACCTATGAATGGTTTATCTCATAAGTAAAAGAAGAGAAAATAGAAGAAAGAGACCTACTGTCAGACTTACAGGACATCAGTGACAGCGAGAGGAAAACCAGCTCTGCTGAGTCCTCATCAGGTACATGAGCCCACACTGCTGTGGCCTTGGCTGCTGCTGCCAGGGAAAGGCCAGGGTTTACCCTTTGGCTCTGTTTTATTCTGCAGCAGAATCAGGTTCAGGCTCTGAAGAGGAAGAGGAGGAGGAAGAGGAAGAGGAGGAAGAAGGGAGCACCAGTGAGGAGTCAGAGGAGGAGGAGGAAGAAGAGGAAGAGGAAGAAGAAGAGGAGACTGGGAGCAACTCTGAGGAGGCCTCAGAGCAGTCTGCGGGTGAGAAGCCAGTGGGTCACAGTTGTTTTAATTGATGAAAAAGCATTTCATGTTCTTTTGGGAATTTGAAGTCTAAGGTAAGAACTTTCCACATTAAAATAGCCTTGCTAAGCCAGGTATGGTGGCGCACGCCTTTAATCCCAGCACTCGAGGCAGAAGCAGGTGGATCTCTGTGAGTTCAAGGCCAGCGTGGTCTACATAGTGAGCATTCCTGGACAGCTGGAGCTACAGGGAGACCCTGTCTCAAAAAGACCAAAAAAAAAAAAAAAAAAAAAGCCTTACTGGCTGGGCGTGTGGCACAGGACTTTAATCCCAGCACTCAGGAGGCAGAGGCAGATGGACCTCTGTGAGTTAGAGGACAGCCTGGTCTCCATATCGAATCCAGGCCAGCTTGGGCTACACTGAGACCCTGTCTCAGAAAAGACCAAAAAAAAAGAAAATAAATAAATAAAATAGCCTTGCTATGTGAGACTCACATTTGACCCCAGAATTGAGGCGGAGAATGCGGCTTAGTAAAAGAATGCTTGCCTAGCATATGTGAGGTCCTGGGTTCAAGCCCAGTACCACCAGGAAAAGAAAGAACCCTTCCCTGCTTCCCAGATTGGTAGGTGTGAACATTTGCTATTGTTTCACAGCTCCTGCTAGCCCTTAGATTACCATGTGGAGGAGATTGCCCACTATCAGGATAAGCTGACAATTCCAAGGCCAGCTCAGCCACATTCTGATCTGAGCAGATTCCTGTTTTCTTTTCAGAAGAAGTAAGTGATGAAGAGATGAGTGAAGATGAAGAACGAGAAAACGAAAACCACATTTTGGTTGGTAAGGGCCTCCCTGTGACAGTGTCTGTCCTTGAGTGCTGATGCTGAGTGTGCCTATGCCTGGTCCTGCTGACACAGACCATCTAGAGCATGTGACGTCCCATGCACTCAAGCTTTGGTCTAGTGGTGTCCAATAGGAGAGGTGGCCAGCTGAAAAGCTCTGATTCCCTGAGAACACACCTTTCGCCACTTTGTAGCCTGTGCCCAGAGGAGCTGACGGTGGGAAGCAGCAGCTTTATTTGGATGACGTCTTGCTGCATGCCCATTGTGACCCTGATGCTGGGGGAGCCCACTTGGAGCCTCATTTACCATAGCAGAAGTCACAGCTGCTGAGGCATGCGGTCTGGGCATGCCCACTTATCCTCTGAGCCCAGTGCTTGGCTCTGGCTCTGGCTCTGATTCTGGCTCTGCCTAGATTACCAGGATTGTGAGCCTTACTTGGTACCTTTTGCCCAGACGGCAGGCCCCACACCAGCTCCTGAAGTGGAGGACACAGGACATGCCACCCCTGCATGGCAGGGCCCAGAACAGGAGAAGGGTTGGGTGTTCCTGCTTATTGCTGGTCCATAATTAGGTTTAACTTTAAAGTTCCAGAGTCGCGATTTGACCGAGATTCCGGGGACAGTGAAGAAGGGGAGGAAGAAGTGGGTGAGGGGACTCCACAGAGCAGTGCCCCAACGGAAGGAGACTATGTGCCTGACTCTCCAGCCCTGTCACCCATTGAGCTGAAGCAGGAGCTGCCCAAGTACCTGCCGGCCCTGCAGGTCAGGCCCCTCCCTATCCCTTGTCCTAAGACTGGCTCTCTGCTTTGGTGCTCCACAGAGAGCAGGTTCTGGAAAGCAGAGCCATACTCCTAGCACTGATGGCTTGCCTGAGGAGCTACTGCTCCCCCATACAGTGGTCTGGCTAGTCATGGCCACTAGCCTTTCATGATCCTAACCATGGTTCTTCTTCAAGCCTGGCAGCACTGGGGGTTTCCTTGGTGCCAGGAACTATTGGCTCTTGCTTTTGCCTTTGCTCTGCTTGCCCTTGGATATGGCCGGGAAATCATGTAACTGCACAGGGCTGTGAATTCTTCACTGTTCAGGAACATACCAGTGAGTGTCTGACACTGCCTAGAGGACTGAGAGGGGATATGGTGGTCCTAAGTTTTACAACAGCATTCTGAGCCCTAGTCACCTGCCTTCCACTAGTGCTTCCAGACCACATAGAGTGGTGGGACACTAGTCTGTGGAATGTCTGGAAAGAAGAAGGTACTGGGGACAGACAGGCCATGCCCTCTCCAGGGTGGCATAGTTCACCAGGCAGAGGATGCCAGAGGTGCTTTTGTTTGTGCTGCTTTCCATCATACTGAAGTGCAGGCTGTCTTAGAAGCAGAGAAAAGAGCGAATTCCTTCTATTCCTACCATCCATGTACAGAGCATGTCCTCCCCAGGTCTTTCAGGCTGGTGTTCAGGTGCACTTGCCCTGTGCAGGGCACAGATAAGGATGTTAGGCCATCACTGTGGCTGCTGAGCCCTCGTGCTCCTGCTTCCTCCACAGGGCTGCCGGAGTGTGGAGGAGTTCCAGTGTCTGAACAGGATTGAGGAGGGCACCTATGGGGTGGTCTACAGAGCCAAGGACAAGAAAACAGGTGGGTGGAGCCCCAGCATGGTCCACTGTGGGGACGCAGGGCCAAGGACAAGGCAGCCAGAGAGGAACTAGTTGTCAAGGAGCTCCGGCAGCCGTGAGACAAGGGATCATTCCTGAGTAGCAGTGAGTTGGATGCTCTGCATTGGTACGAGGCCAGCCTGGAAAGGTCTGACAGACTTTGTTCCATGGAGAGCTTCCCTTGGTCTTCATGTAAACTCCGGAATGATGTTCAGTGGCCTGTCCCCCACAGCTGGCCCTTGTTCTCTGCCCGTGCACCTTCAGCACATGGTTGTTAGGTGTGGATTCACATTTACATAATCCATTGGATCTTTGGAAGAAACTACCCTTTCCTTGTTCCCAGGCCTTGGGCTACACTATACCTACCAAGCATCAAGTTCCAAATCACTGTGCCTCACCTAAGCCTCTCGGTATCTCCAGAAGACACGGGCTGACTAGGACCGTGCTGTTGACTGTGATAACAGGTGGCATGGTTCAGACGTCTGGTAGTAAGACCAGAAGGTGCCGCTCCTCAGTGTGAGGCTTCTCCTTCCTTCCTTTTTTGTTAACAGCCCTAGGACTCCAGGCGAGCACTCAGCCATTGTGTCCCACTCCCTGCCCAGGGTTTTGTTCTTTGCTCTTCTTTATTTGTCTTTCATTATTCCAGAGCTGAGGACTGAACCCAGGGCCTTGTGCTTACTAGGCCAGTACTGGATCACTGATCTAAGCTCCCAGCAAGTGTTCTTAGAAGAAAATCCTTACTGCGAGGTAACAGATGCTGTATGGACAGAAACATAAGTCCTGATTAAACACATTAACTGGATTTTTTGTTTATATTTTATCATTTTTTGGTTTTTGTTGGGTGTTTTTGTTTTTGTTCTTGAGACATGATCTCACTGTGTAGCCCTGCCTGTCTGGATCTTGATCAGGCTGGCCTCAAACTCACAAAGATCTGCCTGCCTTTGCCTCCTGAGTGTTAGGATTAAAGGTGTGCGCCACCATGCACTACTTTTTTTTTTTGGTCTTTTTTTGAGACGGTCTCCCTGTAGCCCCAGCTGTCCTGGAACTCACTATGTAGACCAGGCTGGCCTTAAACTCACAGAGATCCGCCTGCCTCTGCCTCTCAAGTGCTGGGATTAAAGGCATGTGCCACCACACCCCGCTATTTTTTTTCTTAAAATAAAGTTTCAGTAAGTACTCCTGGCTGACCTGGAACTGGCTAGGTAGACCAGGCTGGCTTTGAATTTGGAGCCCTCCTGAGTCCTGGGATTATGGGTGTGTGCTACCATACTTAGCAACATTATATTATTATTTTATTATTTTATGTGTATGTGTGTATTGCCTGCATGTAGGTAAGTGCACCCTTGTTGTGCAGTGCCCTCAGGGGTCAGAAGAGGTCTGTTGGATCCCCTGGGACTGTAGTTATGGACAGTTGTTAGCTGCCATGTGGGTGTTGGGATTTGAACCCGGGTCTTCAAGAACAACCAGTGTTCTTAACCACTGAGCCATCTCTCCAGCCCCCCAGCCACATTATAATATTTTGCCATTTATGTTGTGTTTTCTTAGCTGCTGACTTAGATTATATATTTGTGTGTATGTGCATGTGAATGCAAGGGCCCACAGTGAGCAGAAGAGGGTATTGGATCCCCTGGACCTGGAATTACAAGTAGTTGTTAACTGTGCAATGTGGATACTGGAACTGAATTCTGGTCCTCGGAAGAGCAGCCTGCACTCTTAACTGCTGAGCCATTTCTTCTGCCCTTTTAAAAACATGAGCTTTTTTTTTTTTTTGGTCTTTTTGAAACAGGGTCTCCCTGTAGCCCCAGCTGTCCTGGATTCACCACGGAGACCAGGCTGGCCTTGAACCCACAGAGATCCACCTGCTGGGATTAAAGGTGTGCGCCACCATGCCTGGCCAACATGAGCTTTTCAAAAAATGTTCTTCACATTGTAATTTTTTTATTACGTGACTTTTAAAATAATTTTTAAACTTTATTATTTGATAATTTCATACATGTATATATACACTGTATCTTGATCAGATCCATCTCCCTCCCTCTCCTCCTGTGACACCCCTCAACAGGTTCCCCTCCCACCTTCAAGTCTTTTTTAGTTTTATTTATTATTATTATATGTGTATAAAGTGTATTGCCTGCATGTATGTAAGTGCACCTGTGTTGTGCAATGCCAGCAGAGGCCAGAAGAGGACATTGGATCCCCTGGAACTGTAGTTATGGGTTGTTATCTACTAAGTGGGTGCTGGGAGTTGAACCAGCCAATGCTTTTAACCACTGAACCATAACTCCAGCTCCCCCCCCCCCACTTTTCCCCTCTTAATGGTATAACTCACTGAATCTGGTTACTGTTGCTAGCACATGTGTAGGGGTGAAGCCTCATGAGCCCTCCCACATCGATGCTGCAGTGTGGACTGGCTTGTTCCTGTGCAGGTAACCACAGCTGCTGTGAGTTCATGAGTGCACCTGCTGTGTCATGTCCAGAAGACAGTGATTCACAGCTCTCCTCCCCATTCTCCAGCTCTTCCATCCTTTCTGCCCCTCTTTAGGTGGAGGGTGGGATTGATACAATGTCCCATTTAGGGCTCAGCACTCCACAGCCACTGCCTCATTTCCTGAGTAATCCAAGTCCTATTCAGAAAGTCCTTACCTACGATTGTGTCTTAATATTTACTCCCTGCTTTAGAAGTTTCAGAGTTTCAGGCCTTACGTAGTCTTTGATCCATTTGGCTTTGGTGAGAGATAAGGGTCTTGTTTCATTCCTTTACTTGTGGATCTCCACCATTTGTTAAAGATGTTGTCCTTTCTTCATTGTATTTATTATTATTATTATTTTATGTGTATGACTGTATTGCCTGCATGTGTGTGTGTGCAGTTCCCAGGGATGTCAGAAGAGGACATCAGATCCCCTAGAACGGGAGATATGGTTTTCAGCCTCCATGTGGGTCCTGGGAATTGAGCCTGGGCTCTCAGCAAGAGCAGCCAGTGCGTTTAACCGCATAGTCTTCAATCCATTTGGCATTGGTGAGAGATAGGGTCTAGTTTCATTCCTTTACATGTGGACCTCCACCATTTGTTGATGATGTCCTTTCTTCCATGTATATTTTTGAGGTCTTTGTCACAAATCAGGTGCCTGTTGCTGTGTGGCTGTTCTGTACAGTCTAGAGAAAGATCTGTGATGCCCATGCTTTCAGTTCTGAATGAGTGAGTTTATTAAGTATACAGCAAGCAACAGGTAACAGTGAGGGGCAGATAGAGAGCAGCAGCAGGTGGGTAGAACACATCAGATGGGCACTCAGAACGGCCACAGAGACAGCTGGAACATCCAACGGAGAGCAAACCAAAGGCAACATCCGACTGGGGCTTACAAACATCCGGCAGAAACTCACTGAGGATGCTGAGGCAGTCAGCTGCAGTTCCCGGTTGAGTTGAGCTTACCATGTATGAACTTCCAGTTTCCAGTTCCTGCTAGAGATGTTTTTTTTTTTTTTTTTTTTTTGGTCTTTTTTAGATAGGGTCTCCCTGTAGCCCCAGATGCCCTGGAACTCTATATAGACCAGGTTGGCCTTGAATTCACAGAGATCCACCTGCCTCTGCCTCCCTAGTGCTGAGATCAAAGGAATAGGCCACCACGCCCGGCTTACAGATGTTTTATATTATGGGATAAACAGTAGTGATCTCAGCTGGAAATAGTTTACCTTCTGTTCTCAAGGACCCTGTGTGTTTAGTTGCTTAGATGCTTGCTGATTTGATTTTTTTCTTCTTTTTTCAAAAAGTCTTTAAACCTGGGATGTTGGCTCACACCTTTAATCCTAGCACTCAGGAGGCCTAGGAAGGTGGATCTCTGAGTTCAAGGCCAACCTGGTCTGCATAGTGAGTTCCAGGCCAGCTGAGGCTACAGGGAGACCCTGTCTCCGAAACACAAAAAATAAATTTTTTATTTATTTATTTATTTTTTTATTTTTTGGTCTTGAGACAGGGTCTCCCTGGAGCCCCAGCTGTCCTGGAACTCACTATGTAGACCAGGCTGGTCTTGAACTCAAGAGATCCGCCTGCCTGTGCCTCCCGAGTGCTGGGATTAAAGGCATGCGCCACCACGCCTGGCAAAAATAAATTTTTTAAAAATTTTTAAGTTTTTAAAAATTTATTTTTATTTTGTATGTATGGGTGTTTTGCCTGCCTGTATGTAACTTCACATGTGTCATGCAATGTCTGTTGTGCCTTAGAGGGCAGAAGAGGGCATTGGATCCCTTGGAGCTGGAGTTTCATCAGATTTTTGTTAGCTATCATGTGGGTGCTGGGAACTGAACCCAGGTCCTCTGTAAGAACAACCAGCCCTCTTAAGTACTAAGCCATTTCTCCACCCCATCTTCCTTTTTCTTTTTTTTTTTTTTTTTTCTTTTTTTTTTCAGTATAATGTACGTTGGCCGTGAATCCTGCACCACGCTGTTTTATTACTACAGCTCTGTAGTATAACGTGAAATCAAGTGTGGTGATTCTCCAACGGTATTTGTTTTTCAGAACTGCTTTGGCTCTCAGATCTTCTGTACTCCATACAAATTTAAGGTTTTTTCTATTTCTGTGAAGAGATGAGTTGGTGTTTTGATTGGGACTGCTTTTGGTAGAGTGGCCATTTTCACAATATTACTCCTGCCAGTCCATGAGCTTGGAAAGTTTCCATCTTCTAATGTCTTCCTCAGTTTCTTCCTTTATTCCTTTTGGGTTTTTGTTTGTTTTGAGACAGGGTCTCCCTGTAGTCCCAACTGTCCTGGAACTCAGTATAGAGACAAGGCTGGCCTCCATCTCACAGAGATGCACCTGCCTTTAGAACTTTAGACTTTTCAAGGGGCTACAGAGCTGGTTCAGTGGTTAAGAACACTGGTTGTTCTTGCAGAAGACCTGGGTTCGAAGCCAGAACCCTGTATGGCAGCTAACGCCTGTCTGTAACTCCAGTCCCAGGGGACCAACAGCCTCTTCTGACCTCTGTGGGCATTGCACTTAACCTACATGCAGGCAATACATGGGTACACATAAAATAAAAATAATAAATTTATTTATTTATTTATTTAGTCTTTTTTGAGACAGGGTCTCCTTGTAGCCCCAGCTGTCCTGGAACTCACTGTGTAGACCAGGCTGGCCTTGAACTCACAAAGATCTGCCTGCCGCTGCCTCCCAAGTGCTGGGATTAAAGGCGTGCGCCACCACGCCCAGCCAATAAATAAATTTTTTAAAAAAATTATTATTTATCAACCACCAGCAATCCTAAGAAATAAACTTTGCTTTACTGGGGGGAAAACATGATTATTTATTATTATTCCAGGGTGGGCTTTTTGTTTTGTTGCGGTGTTTTGGTTTTTCAGGCTACTGTGAATGAATTGTTAGCCTGCATTCTTTCTTGGTTTCTTTGTCATAAATATAGGAAGGCTGATGGTTTTGTGTTACTAATTTTATATTCTGTCACTTTGTTGAAAATGTTTCTCAGTTCTGGGGGTTTCCTGATGGAGTTTTCGGGGTCTCAGGTATAAAATGACATATCTGTAAATAGATACTTTGACTTTTTCTTTTCCTCATTGTAACCCTCTTCGGTACTGTGTTGAGTAAGAGTGGAGATAATGGAACCGGGTACTGTGGCACACGCCTTTCATCCCAGCAGGTGGATCTCTTGTGAGTTCGAGGCTAGCCTGGTCTACATAGCCAGTTCCAGGCCAACTGGGGCGAAAGGAAAACCCTGTCTCCAAAAGACCAAAAAAAAAAAAAAAAACAGAAAACGACAGTGGAGATAGTGGAAGGCCTTACATTCACTGATCTCTTTATAGTGAATCATCCTTGGGATCTCTGGAAAAAGCTAACTTGTGACAAATGATCTTTTTGACGTTTGTGAACTTGGGTTTCATTTACAAGATTGTGATTTGTTTGGCTTTTGTTCAGGCATGATCCCTCACTGTAGCCCAAGCTATGAACTCAGGGTGATTCTTCAGCTTCTTGAGTGCTGGGATTGTAGGAATGAGCCACAGTGCTTAGCTTATACAATTTTCTTTACAGATGAAATTGTGGCTCTGAAGCGGTTAAAGATGGAGAAAGAGAAGGAAGGCTTCCCAATCACATCCCTGAGGGAGATCAACACCATCCTCAAGGCCCAGCATCCCAATATTGTCACAGTCAGAGTAAGTCTCAGCCACCACACTTGGCATGGTCTACCTGTGTGGGAGGCCTATCTCCTGAACGGACAAGGGAGAAGGTTCCATGACATCCTGTTGGTAGTAACTTCCACAGTGTAGATATCACCCTGCCAGAATTGTCAGAGTAAGGCCCAGCGTGGTGGCATTTGACTCTAATCCCAGCACTTTGAAGGCAGAGGCAGATGGATCTCTGAGTTTGAGGCCAGCCTGGTCTCAGGCTCTATAGAGAGTTTAAGGCCAGCCAGAGCTACATAGTGAGACTCTCTCAAAAAAAAAGTGGTGGGTGGGGGGTGCCTGGAAGCTGGAGAGAAGGCTCAGCTGTTAAGAGAACTGACTGCTCTTACAGAGGACCCAGGTTCGATTCCCAGCACCCATATGGCGGCTACAAACTGTCCTTAACTCCCGTTCCAGGGGACTCCAAAGCCCATTTCTGACCTGCCCTGCATTGCATGGCACAGGTAGACTTCACATACATGCAGGCAATACACTCATACACATAAAATAAAAATAATAAAATATAAAACTTCTAAAAATTAGTAATAATAAAATATTTTTAAAAAGTCATAGTAGGTCCTTATGCCCACAGCATCTGTGCTTGGCATTGCAGGTTTCCCTAAGCCAGTGCTTGCCAGGGTGGGGCTGGAGGAGGTGGTCACACCAGCACCCACAGATCTCCTGCTTGCTTCCTAGGAAATAGTCGTGGGCAGCAACATGGACAAGATTTACATTGTGATGAACTACGTGGAGCATGACCTCAAGAGCCTGATGGAGACCATGAAGCAGCCCTTCCTGCCAGGTATGGCTGCATGCCAGCCTGGGCAGCAGTGCTGTCTGCCCTCTGGCATGTCATGGAGCTCTCTGAGCACAATTAGGATCATTGTCCTTATAGTGACCTGCTTCCCCTCTGTGTGGGTGGTGATCGTAGTGGACTCAGGGTTACCCAGGGCTGAAACAGTTCTTGTGATAAACTTGCCCAGAAGTCTGGTTGCTGCTGTTACACAAAGAGCCCTGGGGCCCCTGGTCCTTTTGCCAAGACCATTGTGAACTCACTGTGGGGAGGGGATGTGTGTGATCTCAATACTCTTTCTTACAGGGGAGGTAAAGACCCTGATGATCCAGCTGCTGAGTGGGGTGAAGCACCTTCATGACAACTGGATCCTGCACCGTGACCTCAAGACCTCCAACCTATTGCTAAGCCATGCTGGCATTCTCAAGGTGAGCCCTGCATCCTCCCACCTCACCCTCAGGAACCCCACCCACAGCCTGGCCTCACAGGCCACCCTGTCCATGTTACTACAGGTGGGTGACTTTGGGCTGGCGCGGGAGTATGGATCACCCCTGAAGGCCTACACCCCAGTTGTGGTGACCCTGTGGTATCGTGCCCCAGAACTGCTGCTTGGTGCTAAGGTGAGTCTGATGGGGGTTCTGAGAGGTTTCCCTGCCCCATGGAGGCCTCACTGACCTGTGGCCTGATGCTGATGGTGTGGGCCTGCAGGCATCTGAGTCCTGCCTTCTGGAATGTTAGGAATACTCTACAGCTGTGGACATGTGGTCAGTGGGCTGCATCTTTGGAGAGCTGCTAACCCAGAAGCCTCTGTTTCCTGGGAAGTCAGAAATTGATCAGATCAACAAGGTTTTTAAAGTGAGTGTGGGCATTGGGTCGCCCGTCAATCTTGGGTTTGGGAACACTACCAGAAATGGCTTGGACTAGGGTCAGAATTGGTGACACAGAGCACAGTGTGGCCTTTGGGTGACCTCTCATCTGATAACAGTGACAGACATAAGTACCGTGCATGCATTTGAAGTTCAGACATCCTGTCTTCCAGGACCTGGGGACTCCCAGTGAGAAAATCTGGCCTGGCTATAATGACCTCCCAGCAGTCAAGAAGATGACCTTCAGTGAATATCCCTATAACAACCTCCGCAAGCGGTTCGGAGCTTTGCTATCAGACCAGGGCTTTGATCTCATGAACAAGTAAGTCCCAGGGTGGCATAGTCTATAGCCTAGGGTCTTCAGGATGCTGGCTCACTCTGTTTGAGAACTGACCCGGGGCCTGGGAGCCCCAGGATACCAGGGCTTAGGGTATGCTAAGTCCAAGGGCCTCACCTTCCATCACAGCCTGACCCACAGCACATGTCCACCTAGAAAGCAGAGGCTTGGCCTGAGCTGTGACGTCATGTGTGTTCAGGCCCACAGCTGGTGGCTAGGATCCCATGCCGTTTTTAGGTTCCTGACATACTACCCTGGAAGGAGGATCAACGCAGAAGATGGCCTCAAGCACGAGTATTTCCGAGAGACCCCCCTCCCCATCGACCCCTCCATGTTTCCCACATGGCCTGCCAAAAGCGAGCAACAGAGGGTGAAGCGTGGCACAAGTCCACGGCCACCAGAGGGCGGCCTAGGCTACAGCCAGCTGGTGAGGGGCCTGTCCAGCAGGGGTTCCCATGGGGAAGACTGGCTGGGGCACAGTCCTCATGGTGCCTACCTCACTTCACAGGGTGACGACGACCTGAAGGAGACAGGCTTCCACCTCACCACTACGAACCAGGGAGCCTCCGCTGCAGGCCCCGGCTTCAGCCTCAAGTTCTGAGGTCAAGAGTGGCCCTGGCCCAGCCAGGGAGAGACAGCTTGAGCTGCTGAGTCAGAATGCCTATCTTGGAACTGCTCATCTGAACTTTGTCTTTCCTTCTTTTTGAAATATATATTTTGGTTTGTAAATTTGTAGAATTAAATCACATTTTCCTTCTGGAAGGCAAGCTGTTTTCAGAGGTGTCGTGAGTGCCTGCAGGTGCCACAGATGTCCTGCCCCTCCCCACGGCAGGACCTGGTCTGGAGCAGAGCTGGGGTTCTCTGCCTCTCAGTCTTGGAGGCTGCGGCTTGTGTGTGGTGATTGAGGCAGCTTGCTTCTTCCTGGGGTGTCAGCACCAGCCCTATCCACACTGGCCTCAGCCCCAGAAACCAGATGTGTGACAGCCTCAGCCAAGGTGGATTTTTATTTATGAGGTTGTTACTTTTTTTGTTTGTTTGTTTTTGAGACAGGGTCTTCTTGTAACCCCAGCTGGCCTGGAACTCATTATGTAGACCAGGCTGGCCTTGAACTCACAGAGATCCACCTGCCTCTGCCTCCCGAGTGCTGGGATTAAAGGCATGTACCATCTCGCCTGGTTGTTACATATTTTAAGAAGTAGTAAACTGTACTTGGACGAAGCTGTGTCCTTTTCTAATTGTACTGATCCCTGGATGGGCCGTTGGGGTGTGCTTGGGATGGGAGCTGCTGTTTGGGCTTGGGTAAATAAAGTGAAGTGACAGGATTGGATACAGTCCTCACATACACCCCTGCCCCTGCCTCCACCCTTACCACCTCTCACTGAGCAAGCTGTTGGCCTCTTTCAGCAGAACAGGGGCCCATACCTGCTTGGGGCCTCCACCTCTTACCAAGCTGGTTCTCAGCCCTCTGCCTTACTCATAGTAAAGCCTCACCTAGTCATCCAAAGTGCTGCTGCTGACACCTGGGACTCAGGCTTCCACACAGTTCTCTGGAGGCCTTCTTGGCAAAACCCACTTGCTCTGTTGACAATGTCACCAAAAAGGACTATGCAGAAGTACAGGAACATTCTCTCTCCAGGGGCTGACCTTTGGTCCAGAAATGATAAGGCAGGGGATTATTTTGGTAAGGAAAAGTACACACTGCTGGGTGTGGTGGTTTGTGGACAGCCTGGTCCATATAGGGGTTTCCAGGCTAGGTATGTCTACATAGTGAGACCCTGTCAGAAAAAAAGACAAGCTCATATTTCCCTTTTTTTGTTTTGTTTTGTTTTTTGAAACAGCTTTATTTGTGGCCTGGCTCACTATATGGACCAGGATGGCCAGGATTTCACAGAGCTCTGCTTGCTAAGTGCTGAAGTATGTGCCACTACACCCACCTGTACAGACCTTTTGAGGAAGAATATGTTGTGACTGAACCCCTTAACGCTCCCAAACCCTCTGTTAAGTAGGCTCCCCGCCATTGTCCCCTTGAGGACCAAGGTCCCTGAGTGGTCCACATAACAGTGGTATGTTCTGTGACAGTTACCGGGCACTACCAGCAGTGGGCTCTGGGTGTAAACCCAGGACATCACTGTGGCCTGTTCTATTGCTGCACATTGCCAGTACAGTGAAGCACGCCTTGTCTATCTGGCTCAGCATCATCGTTTTTGGCAACAAAATCACCAGCCTGTCTGCCATTGGCACCATCCTTGTGATAATGGGTGTCTTGCTCTACAACAAAGCCAGGCAGTACCAGCAGGAGACCATGCAGAGCCTGGCCACAGCCACCCATCGGGGCCCAGAGGACGACACAGAGCCACTGGTTCCCCTGGACTCCAGACAGCACCACTGAGCATAGGAGGCCTCTGGACATCGCTTAGCTCCTTTCTGATGCTGTGTCCCTTGGAGACCAGGCCTAGACTGCATTCTGCACTACATGCTGGGCTAAGGAGGCAGACTCTGCAGGCTTGGTCTTCTGCTCCTCACTGGAAGTCAGATGTGGGAATCAGGGATCAGTTTCTGCCTGACAGAACCCTGCAGGAAGGAGTGGATGGCCTGTTGCTCCCCTGGCCCACCGTCCAGGCTGCAGCTGGGCCAACAGCTCTGTGGAGCCCACTGTGGATAAATGCAGGCTCCAGTGCAATGTGAGCTGTTCTCTGCCTGGTGCCAGCTAGGAGACCACAGGTATTGAAGCCACCTGGTCTCTGGTCATCCATGGAGACTAACCACAGTGGCCATGCTGCTGTGTTGAAACAGAAGTCCCAGGTGCCAGTGCCCCCTTTATGGACCCCCCAACCACCCTCAGAAACCAGAATGGTTTACAGGTGTGGAAACAAGTCTCCTGCCCCTGAGGGAGGGTGCTTGTGTGAAGGAGAGGATTCCCCTGGCTTGTGTTGCACTGAGCCGCCCTTCCTTCAGGGTGCTGTTCCATGTGATGCTAAGAATGTGATTTCCACACCCTAGAGGGTGATTGCGGACAACTGGCAAAGGTGCCCTGGAATGCTTTTCCGTCTTGGGTCTGGATGAATGTGAGGCAGGCTGTTCTGAATGGCAAGATTTCCTTGGGGATGGATGACTGGGGAGGTCTGGCAGAGCATGTTTGCAGTTTATGCTGCATTTAAAGTGACACTGCTTTGTAGCAGAGCAGGCACCCGTACAGGTTTCTGGAGTGTCTGCATGCAAGGTAGAACACAGTCTACATCCACAGCTGACTCCCCAGGGACCATTTGTGACAGCACCTGGACCATCAAGTGCCCAGAGTCTGTCCTTCCATGCTAGGGTCCAGAGCGAGAGAGCCTGAGCAGTGGAGGAGCACAGCGGGGGCTTGGGTACAAGGGGCTGAGGCTCTCTACCTTGTTCCTAATTTTGTGGGTTCCGATGTGGGTACAATCCCTGTCCAGGCAGTTTTCAAGACCCTTTGTGATGGCAGCAGGGGCACTACCTGCCCCAAATCTCCCTTCCCCTCCCTGCTCTTTAGTGCCCATGGTGGTTCACTGGTTTCCCATTTGGCTTCTTGCCTGGGGATATGAAAATAGCCCCTTCAGGAGTAGGTTTAGGTAAAAAGAGCAATAATTATGTCTTAAGTTCTACCGACTTGAAAAAAATCTGCCATGGTGATGGATCTTCACCACCACTGTGAAGATGTTTTCTTATGTGGCACTGGCAAAGGTGCCCTGGAATGCTTTTCCTTCCTCTTCGCTTTCTCCAAAACTAAAGGCCCCAAGGTAAGAAAGTAGAATGGGTGGCACAACCGGATTCCACCTCGCCCCCCGCCCCCCAGAGTTACCCAGCAGGGAATTCCATTTTCTAAACTGCCACATTCCTATGAGGAACTACGTCCTTCATTATGACGTATGTAGCTCCCCAAAACTTAATCTGGACGATCGCACCACGACTGAGCGATCCGGGTGTCAGCGCGCCCGCCAGCGTGAATTCAAGTCACTCTCCTTCACTAGCTGCGACGCTTCAGGGAGCGGGGCGGATGCTGTTTCTGCCCAAAAGCTGAACCCAAGAATTTCCCCGCTGCCTCGCCTTGGGCCACGCGCCTGGGTTACGTCATCAACACGAGTCCAAACAGGAAGTAAACGTGTCTGACGTGCGCCGGGCGCTGTTTCCTCTGCGGTGCTGAAGTGGACCTTGTACTTGCTGCCCGCCTGGCTTCTGGATCCTGTGTCATCAATAGGCGTCCAACCAGGAAGCGATGGAGGTCCTAGCGCCTACCGCGCGCTGTTTCTTCTCGGACTCCTCGATCGGCGGCGGCGGCGCAGCGGCGCAGGGGTAAGTGACGGCGGGAGCCCACACGAAGGGCGACGGACGCGCCCGAGGAGTCGGGCGGAGGGAATCGCTGCTGGCGCGCCCGGCTCGGCACACTCTGCTCGTAGGAGAGGAGGCGGCGGGTCCCGCGCTCCCTGCCAGCCCCTGGGCTGCCAAGCTCGGATTTCCCCGAATGAACCGGCCGAAGGCGAACCCCGGGCTTACGGGTTGCACCGCACACCTGATCCCTGCCCGGGACGCAGGCTGGTCCTCGCCCGGCGCTTCCTCATAGTCTTCTGGCACCAAAGGCAGAGTTTGCTGGGTGCTGCGACCTCGGTCTTTAGATGGTGATGCTTGCCATTTACGAAAAGCAAACTGAGCTCAACTAAGTTACCCCAAACCTTACAAGAGTGACGGAAAAAATGAGGTTCCAGCAGAGCCCTTTCCTCCTACCGGGACTTAGTGTAAAACACTAAGAAGTGATTCAAGGAACAACAGAGCCTCAGACTTGGTGTGTCCCGAGGTTGCGTGAATAATTTTTCTTTTTTTAAAAAAAAAGGTTATTATCTTTATGTATATGAATGTATTGTCTGTGTGTATGTAAGTGCACCCAGGTTGTGCAATGCCTGTGGTCCTCTGCAAGAGCAGTCAGTGCTATTAACCAGGGGGCCATCTCTCCAGCCCTGAATTATTTTTCTCTTTGCAGTTTTTTAACTCAAATGGGTGATGAAAAGGACTCTTGGAAAGTGAAAACTTTAGACGAAATTCTCCAGGAAAAGAAACGAAGAAAAGAGCAAGAGGAGAAAGCAGAGATAAAACGCTTAAAAAATGTAAGCTATGTTTTTTAAGTAAGTGGTTTTCTTAAAGGAGATTTAATTTCTTTGTCCTCATTTTTCCATTAGAACAACGCTTCTTCGGTGAAGTTCTTTTGTACTTCCAAATGTCACAGGTGAGCCCAAAATCTATTCTAAAATTAACAAGAACACTCATATACTCAGTTTATTGAAGGTAGATTGATAACACACTGAAGCTTGTCTAGATGAGAATGTCACCATGGGAAATAAAATGTTTTGGACCTAGAATCATCAGTGCACCAGACTAATTCTTCTCATCTCACTGTTAGTAAATTCATAATACCATGTTCAAGCATTTTTAATGTGGTGGGGACTTGGCCTTTAACTTAAAACGAGTGCTTTGTAACTTCCTTGCTTTGCATGGTAAATATATTCAGAGCTTCTCAGTGATTGGATAGAGGCATTGACATAAATACCTCTTTTCTAAGATTAGGCAGAGATCATTTTGCAGTATATATAAGTACTATGTGTATTTTGTTTGTAAAATCCAAGTTAGGTCTAACATAGGTGTCACTTTGGCTCATGAGGAACTAATGTGTTTGGCATAGTGCCTAATGTCTCTTGTCATATAAGTAGTTTTTAACTTTCCACTCATAGGTTGTAGGATACACAGAACTGTGATTTTAATTACTGGGAATATGGAAAAAAGTTCTTTGCTATATTTTATAACAGCTCCATTCAAACTAGATATGAAATTTTGGGGATGTCAACAAACTTTGCTTATCATTAAAAGTAAGTGCAACTGTGTATGATAGCACACACTTGTAATCTCAGCGTTTGGGATGCTGAGGCAGAAGATTTAAGACCAGCCTGAGCTATACATCAAAACTTTTCAAAGATTAAAGACAAGTGCAGGATGTGGTTGAGCTTGCCTTTAGTCCCAGCACTATGGACACAGAAGCAGGTAGATCTCTGAGTTCAAGGCCAGCCTGGTCTGCGTAGGGAGTTCTGGCCACCTGGGGCTACAGGGAGACCATGTCTCAAGAAGACCAAAATATGAAAAGAAAGAAAGAAAAAAGCATTATCTACACAGAAAATGACCCAGTGATTCATTTTCTCTTTGCTTCTTAGTCTGATGACCAGGATCCCAAAAGGGATTCCCTTGAGGAGGAGGAGCTGAGAGATCACCGTATGGAGATCACAATCAGGAACTCACCATGTAGAAGAGAAGACTCCATGGAAGACAGGTAAGAGAGTGCATAAGATTTAGCAGGCATGCCCCAAGATAGCCACAAATGAGGCCCTGACAGACTCATAACTTACATGAAACATTATGAAGTTTTTTCCTTTTTGGTTTTTCAAACAGTGCAGGTCTTGCACGTGAACTTCACAGATGACAGTATCGCACTATCCAAGGTTGGACTTGTCTGTTAGAGAAAGAAGGAAAAGAGCCTGGGGTACCACATAGCCAAGAGCCAGCCGGCCTTTTCAGTAGTACGCTGAAAAAGTCTGTATTCGGACTGGAGCTTGAGCTCCCAGTTGGGTTTGGCTTTGGTGGGGTCAGTTGTCATAAAGACAAAATGAGCATGCGTTCCTTTCTTTGTGGTAAGTCTTCAGTTAAGCCAGCACAGCGTAAGATACTACATTTCAGTGTTTGTTTACCCTGTGTGGCAACGCCACAAGATTTTATTACTTTATCTTTAAAATGTTTTAATTATTTTTTTATGGGGGCTGGAGAGATGGCTCAGCATTTAAGAGCACTGGCTGTTCAGGAGACATGGGCTTGATTCCCATCACCCACAGGGTGTCCAACAACCATCCTTAACTCCAGATCCAGGGGATCTCATGTCCTCTTCTGTCCTCCACAGGCATTGCATGACATGTGTGTACTTACATACATGCAGACACAACACTTATACACATAAAATAAATAATTTTTTTGTTTTTTTACTTTTTGAGACAGAGTCTACCTGTAGCCACAGCTGACATGGAACTTACTATGTAGACCAGGCTAGTAGCCTTGTGATCTCACAGAGATCCACCTGCCTATGCCCCCTAGTGCTGGGATTAAAGGTGTGGGCCACCATGCCAGGTTCAAAAATAAAATGTTTAAAAGTGTTTATTTTTTACTTTATGGGTGTGAACTTCTTGTTTGCACGTATGTACATGCATCCATGTTGTGCATTGCCCATGAAGGCCAAAAGAGTGCGCTGGATCCCCTGGAACTGGAGTTACTGACAGTTGTTAACCACCATGTGGATCCTGGGAATTTGAACCCAGGTCCTCTGCAAGAATAGCCAGTGCTCTTAACCACTGAGCCACTCTGCATCTCTGGCCCAAGTCCACAGTTTTAGAAGTAATCCAAAGTGGAGTGAAGATGGATCGCTATCAGCAATATTCATGCCAAGATGTGTGTCTGGTGATTCCTACAGTGCAGTGAGGTCTTGCTGTTTGTTTTCTTTTTGTGTTTTGTGAGATAACTGAGGGAAACACAGTCAGTTAAGGTAGAATGGCTGTTCTGAGAAGCCCAGGGTGTAATTCCTGCTTCTGCCGGGTCTGTTTTGTTTTTAAAAAGCAGGATCTTCACCAGGCGTGGTGGCACACTCCTGTAGTCCCAGCATTTGGGAGGCAGAGGCCAGCCTGGTCTACATAGTTCCAGGACAGCTGGGCTACAGGGAGACTCTGTCTCAAAAAGACCAAAAAAAAAGCAGGGTCTTACTGTGCAGCCCAGTCTAGCATTCATGATCCTCCTCTCTCAGCTCCCAAGTTCTGGGAGTACAGTGCGGGGCGTGGTGGCGAGTGCCTTTAATCCCAGCACTTGGGAGGCAGAGGCAGGCGTATCTCTGAGTTCGAGGCCTGCCTGGTCTACATAGTTCCAGTTCAGCTGGGGTTACAGGGAGATCCTGTCTCAAAAAAAAGACCAGGAAAATATGTTTCCCCAAGAACTGGAGAGATTGCTCAATGGTTAAGAGCAGTGACTGCTCTTGCAGAGGACCTTGATTCAGTTCCCAGCACTCAAACAGCAGCTAACAGCTGTCCATAATTCCAAGTCCAGGGCATCCAACACCATCTTCTGTCCTCTATGGACATGACATGCATGTAGTACACAAGCATACGTGCAGGCAAAACACTTATATACATAAAATAAAAATAAATAATTTAAAAATTAAAATAGACTGTGGTGTCATTTGCCTTTAATCCCAGCACTTGGGAGCCAGAGGCAGGCAGATCTCTGAGTTCAAGGCCAGCCTGGTCTACAAAGCAGATTCAGGCTCCCTGGTACTGAAGGGAGACCCTGAGATCACATCATGAGCAATAAATAAATAAATAAATAAATAAATAAATAAATAAATACAGTGAAAACTCTTCCTTAGTGCTGGGGGCCTACTTCAGTTCGTAGAGGATTTGCACAGTATGCACAAATCTCTGGGTTTGAATTCCCGTACTGCATTAAAAAAATTGGATGTGGGACTGGAGAGATGGCTCATCGGTTAAGAACACTGGTTGTTCTGCAGAAGATCCAGATTTGAATGCCAGCACCCACTCAGCCGCTAACAACTGTCTGTAACTCCAGTCCCAGGGAATCCAACAGCCTTTTCTGACCTCCCCGAGCATTGCACAATACGGGTGCACTAACCTACATGCAGGCATGACACACATACACATAAAAATAATAAATAAAATTTTTTAAAATTAAAAAAATAAAATTGGATGTGGTGAAGCATGCCTGTAATAGCCCTCTGGAGGCGGAAGGAGGAAAATCAGCTTTTTGAGTCATTCTTTGCTACATAGTGAGTTTGAAGTGAGCCCGGAATACACGAGACCCTGTCTCAACAAATGACATAAACATTTCCCCAAAGTAACCTATGAATGGTTTATCTCATAAGTAAAAGAAGAGAAAATAGAAGAAAGAGACCTACTGTCAGACTTACAGGACATCAGTGACAGCGAGAGGAAAACCAGCTCTGCTGAGTCCTCATCAGGTACATGAGCCCACACTGCTGTGGCCTTGGCTGCTGCTGCCAGGGAAAGGCCAGGGTTTACCCTTTGGCTCTGTTTTATTCTGCAGCAGAATCAGGTTCAGGCTCTGAAGAGGAAGAGGAGGAGGAAGAGGAAGAGGAGGAAGAAGGGAGCACCAGTGAGGAGTCAGAGGAGGAGGAGGAAGAAGAGGAAGAAGAGGAGGAGACTGGGAGCAACTCTGAGGAGGCCTCAGAGCAGTCTGCGGGTGAGGAGCCAGTGGGTCACAGTTGTTTTCATTGATGAAAAAGCATTTCATGTTCTTTTGGGAATTTGAAGTGTAAGGTAAGAACTTTCCACATTAAAACTGCCTTGCTCTGTAAGACTCACATTTGGCCCCAGAATTGAGGCAGAGAATGCGGCTCAGTAGAATGCTTGCCTAGTATATGTGAGGTCTTGGGCTCAATCCTAGTACCAGCAGGAAAAGAAAGACGCCTCCCACCCTTCCCAAATTGGTAGATGTGAACACTTGCTATTTTTCCACAGCTTCTGCTAACCCTTAGATTACCCTGTGGAGTTTACAGGTGGGTGGAGCCCCAGAATGGTCCACTGTGGGGACGCAGGGCCAAGGACAAGGCAGCCAGAGAGGAACTAGTTGTCAAGGAGCTCCGGCAGCCGTGAGACAAGGGATCATTCCTGAGTAGCAGTGAGTTGGATGCTCTGCATTGGTACGAGGCCAGCCTGGAAAGGTCTGACAGACTTTGTTCCATGGAGAGCTTCCCTTGGTCTTCATGTAAACTCCGGAATGATGTTCAGTGGCCTGTCCCCCACAGCTGGCCCTTGTTCTCTGCCCGTGCACCTTCAGCACATGGTTGTTAGGTGTGGATTCACATTTACATAATCCATTGGATCTTTGGAAGAAACTACCCTTTCCTTGTTCCCAGGCCTTGGGCTACACTATACCTACCAAGCATCAAGTTCCAAATCACTGTGCCTCACCTAAGCCTCTCGGTATCTCCAGAAGACACGGGCTGACTAGGACCGTGCTGTTGACTGTGATAACAGGTGGCATGGTTCAGACGTCTGGTAGTAAGACCAGAAGGTGCCGCTCCTCAGTGTGAGGCTTCTCCTTCCTTCCTTTTTTGTTAACAGCCCTAGGACTCCAGGCGAGCACTCAGCCATTGTGTCCCACTCCCTGCCCAGGGTTTTGTTCTTTGCTCTTCTTTATTTGTCTTTCATTATTCCAGAGCTGAGGACTGAACCCAGGGCCTTGTGCTTACTAGGCCAGTACTGGATCACTGATCTAAGCTCCCAGCAAGTGTTCTTAGAAGAAAATCCTTACTGCGAGGTAACAGATGCTGTATGGACAGAAACATAAGTCCTGATTAAACACATTAACTGGATTTTTTGTTTATATTTTTTTTTGTTTGGTTTTTGTTGGTTTTTTGTTGTTGTTGTTTTTGAAAAATGATCTCACTGTGTAGCTCTGACTGCCTGGATTTTGCTATGTAGGTCAGGCTGGCCTCAAACTCACACAAACTCACAAAGATCTGCCTGCCTTTGCTTCCTGAGTGTTAGGGTTAAAGGCATGTGCCACCATGCACTACATATTTTTTTTTCTTGAGATAGAGTTTCAGTAAGTACTCCTGGCTGACCTGGAACTGGCTAGGTAGACCAGGCTGGCTTTGAACTTGGAGCCCTCCTGAGTCCTGGGATTATGGGTGTGTGCCACCATACCCAGCCACATTATAATATTTAGCCATTTATGTTGTGTTTTCTTAGCTGCTGACTTAGATTATATATTTGTGTATGTGCATGTGAATGCAAGGGCCCACAGTGAGCAGAAGAGAGTGCTGGATCCCCTGGACCTGGAATTACAAGTTGTTGTTAACTGTGCAATGTGGATGCTAGAACTGGACTCTGGTCCTCAGAAAAGCAGCCTGCACTCTTAACTGCTGAGCCATTTCTTCTGCCCTTTTACATGAGCTTTTTTTAAAAAAAAATTTTCAGATTGAAATTTTTTTTCAACTTTAAAAAATTATTGAGAATTTTATACATGCATATAAGGTGTTTTGATCAAATCCATCCCCACCCCCTCCCCTCCAACTCCTCCCATATCTCCCCATCACTTTTTCCTGAACAAATTCGTGTACACTTTTTTTTTTTAATGGGGCTTTTTGCTATTCTAACATTCCTCCCTCTGAAGAGGTAACCTTAAAATCTTTTAGGGATTAGATAAAAGCTCCCAAATACCTTTGCCATTTTCAGCCTTTGGAACAGAGTAATGTTGCTAGGAGGCCCAAGGACATTTTGACTTTTAGCCAAGAAACTGGCTACTTTTTTGGGGTCTTTTTACCCTAACTGCCTAGTCAATTCCTACCTCCTATTCTTATCACACCATCCTCTGAAGGGGTTGCCCAAATTGCCGATAGGGAATCTAGACGCAGACCACTCTGGTTTCTTCCATGCTGAACAGGGATGCAGGGTGGGGCAATGGGGTGCCCCTTTAGTGGGTCTATCTAAAAGACTCCCAGATTGCACAACTCTAGGGGGAAAAGAAAGTCCTTGAATGTGAAGGAGATGTAAAACCTCAGAACAGGGCAAATTTCAAATGTTCATACCAGAATCCATTGGAATTTCTTGACAAGAGCTTCCAAAAGTATCCCTCTATTGGGTGCCTCCTCGTTTTTCTTTTGTCTGCCAAGGCTGGACTCGAGAGTGATAGACTCAGGATTTGTTTTCGAGCACTTTGATAGCTGTTGGAGTGGCTAGAATCAGTGTCAGTTCCCTCTCAAAGGGGGAGGAAACAAATTTATCCATCATTTTAGAACAATAGCTGGTTGTCTCTCTTAGCTACAGGTGGGCACTACAGTATTTCAGACCAAGATTAGAAGTGTTTCATTCGAGCAGCACTTTCTGCTTAGAAACAAAATCATCAATGAGAAAGAATTGTCTAAATAACCTTTTATATGGACTTAAGCCTAATGTCTGGGAAGTGTAATCCCTTGAACTCTTAAATAAATATAGTGATCACTTTAATCTTTGGTTAGACTTTCCTTTTGGGTGTTTAAGACCATATAGTTAGCCCCAAAAAAACCAATCTATTTTCACTCTTGAGGTCGTTTGAGGATCTGTCCCATGCCGTTCTTTTCAGGTTCCTGACATACTACCCTGGAAAGAGGATCAATGCAGAAGATGGCCTCAAGCACGAGTATTTCCGAGAGACCCCCCTCCCCATCGACCCCTCCATGTTTCCCACATGGCCTGCCAAAAGCGAGCAACAGAGGGTGAAGCGTGGCACAAGTCCACAGCCACCAGAGGGCGGCCTAGGCTACAGCCAGCTGGTGAGGGGCCTGTCCAGCAGGGGTTCCCATGGGGAAGACTGGCTGGGGCACAGTCCTCATGGTGCCTACCTCACTTCACAGGGTGACGACGACCTGAAGGAGACAGGCTTCCACCTCACCACTACGAACCAGGGAGCCTCCGCTGCAGGCCCCGGCTTCAGCCTCAAGTTCTGAGGTCAAGAGTGGCCCTGGCCCAGCCAGGGAGAGACAGCTTGAGCTGCTGAGTCAGAATGCCTATCTTGGAACTGCTCATCTGAACTTTGTCTTTCCTTCTTTTTGAAATATATATTTTGGTTTATAAATTTGTAGAATTAAATCACATTTTCCTTCTGGAAGGCAAGCTGTTTTCAGAGGTGTCGTGAGTGCCTGCAGGTGCCACAGATGTCCTGCCCCTCCCCACGGCAGGACCTGGTCTGGAGCAGAGCTGGGGTTCTCTGCCTCTCAGTCTTGGAGGCTGCGGCTTGTGTGTGGTGATTGAGGCAGCTTGCTTCTTCCTGGGGTGTCAGCACCAGCCCCATCCACACTGGCCTCAGCCCCAGAAACCAGGTGTGTGACAGCCTCAGCCAAGGTGGATTTTTATACATGAGGTTTTTTACACAGTGGATTTTTGGGGGGGGGGTCTTTTTGAGACGGTCTCCCTGTAGCCCCTGCTGTCCTAGAACTATGTAGACCAGGCTGGCCTTGAACTCACAGAGATCCACCTGCCTCTGCCTCCGAACTGCTGGGATTAAAGGCGTGTGCCACCACGTCCAGCCACAGTGGATTTTTATATGTGTTTTAAGGAGGAGTAAATTATTCTTGGAGGAAGCTCTTGTGTTTTGTTTTTTCATTGTGCTGGTCACCAGGTGAGCCCTGTGGATATGCCTGGGAGGGGAGCTGCTAGCTGTCTGGACTTGGGTAAATAGATTGAGCTGGCAGTATTAGATACAGCCCTTCACCCCCCATCTCCATGAGCAAGCTCTTGCAGAACAGGTGCCTATACCTGCTGTGGCCTCCACCTCTGCCCAAGCTGATTCTCAGTCCCCCTCCCTTATAGTAAAGCCTCACCCAGTCATTCAAAGTGATGTTGCTGACACCAGGGCCTCAGTGTACCCCAGTGTTCTAGAGGCCATCTTGGCAAAGCCATTCTTGCCCAATTGACTATGTCCTTACCACACAGGGCTATGCAGAAGTAGGGGAGCCCTGACACCCCAGTGTCCCCATATCCAGGTGGACAGAGACTAGCCTGCTGGCTTCCTTTCCATGCAACGAGACGTTAGAGAGAAAGTGCTTTATCTACTGGCCTCCAGCCCAGAGCCTCTGAACAGGGTCAGCTCCTCACTCGGACCCGCCAGGAGTAGGTAGTGAGCACTCTCTGGTGCCGGCGCACCACGCAGGTGTAGGTGCCTTCATTGACTGCATTGGCAATGATGCTCAGCTGTGCTTCACCCAGGGCCAGGTAGCCAGGATAGGAGAACTCCAGGGGCTCTTGGTCCTTGTACCAGCTGCAGGGGGGAAGTTCCTGCATGACTGCCCTGCCCACCCCAAAGGACCCAGGGCATAACCACCCTGAGTACCCCATGTAGCCCAAATCCCCCTGGACATGCTTGGCCAGTGCTGCTTACTATACTTTGCCTTTCTTGTGTAGGATCTTCTGCCCACAGCGGAAGGTCATGTTCCTGCCCTCCGACACCAGCCTCGTTTTGGTCCTGGTGGGTGGTAAGGTGGCAGCCATCGTGGGAAATGGGAATTCTGCTCAAGGCATGGGGAAATGCCATGTCAGTGTTTAGCCACATGAAGCCAGGCCCAAGATGGAGAGATCTGAGCTCAAGAACTCCCCATCCCACCTGGAGCCTCACTTACCATAGCAGAAGTCACAGCTGCTGGGGCAGAGCCTCTTCATGAGTCTCTGACGGGCATTACAAAAGCCCCTCCGTGCCCAGGATGTACACACAAAAAGCCTGTCCAAGCAGCCTGCCAGGAGGGAAGCATGGTTCAGGACTGCTCACAGCCCTACCTCCCACCTGCCACTCACCTTTCCCAGGGCACCCACCATAGAGTCGGTGTAGTCCCCACAGTTCATCCTGGGACAATGACTTCCAGCCTCGAAGTGTGGCATTGAGATGCATGAGTGCCCGGCCTTGCTGTGAGTGCATCAGCCCCAGAGCATGGCCAATCTCATGGGCTGCCACGTGCACCAGGTCTGTGAGCCACACACCTGTAGGCCCCGTGGGTTAGCACTTGGGTCCCCCAGCCTTCTACTCCCAGGCTTGCTCCAGGAGGCCTAGAACAGCTGCTGGAATGCAACTGTAAGCCACCCTCGGCCACAGCCAGAGAAGATAAGTATGTTCCTGGTCTAGGCAGTGAGCTTGGCCCCCAGGAATGCAGCTCCAGCTCCCTCTGCAGCAGCGTTAGGGGAGCGGGAACACTCAGGCTTTGAGAATTCCAGTTCCCCTCCCTGATTGTTTGACCCTAATAGTGGCCACCCATCACCAGAAAATCCCTCCTGCCCCACAGCCCTTAACCTTGGTAGAGAGAATGAGCCCCTCCCCCGACCTCTCAGGAGGCCAGGCCAAGGGGTCTGGTCACCTTTCTTCCAACTGTAACGTGTGGGGCCCAGGATCCAGTACTCGCTGTCGTCAAAGTGAATGCCACCGTGTGGTGGGAAGAAAGCATGAGCCAGTTCACCCGTGGGGCCATCAAAGCAGTGGTGCAGAGCAGATACCAGACAGTCCGTATGGTTGACTGGGTAGAAGCCTAGGGAAGTACAAGGCTGAGATAGCGCCAGCGGGGCTGGGCAGGGTCAGGAGCATGTCACCCACCTATCCGGAGGTCGCTGGGCTGCTCTGGGGCCACCTCACGGAAGCTGAAGGGGGAAACGTCGCTCCACATGCGGAAGGCAGCAGCCAGGCCCCGCCGTGTCTCACGAGGGCTCAGGAGATTCCGGGGAAAGGAAAGAATCCTGGGGGACCGGGTCGGGGTCAGAGGTGGTGTCTGGGTTATGGCCCAGCCCCAGCCTCTGTCTCAGGTCCAGGCGGCACCTGTATGTGAGGTTGAAGTGGTCCCACCGCAGCCTGGCCGGCGTGAGCGTGTAGCGTCGTCTTCGAGGCAGCAGCAGGGTCAGGGGGCTGTGGAGCTGGGCGGTGGGGACCCCAGAGGGGTTTGGTGTATCCACATTTCTCTTCACAGGAAGGAAGTGGATGTGAGGAGGCAGTAGGAACAGTCTCCAGGCCCCAAAATTGTGGAAAGTAGACTGTTGGGAAATGGGTGTGGAAGGGCCCTGGGGGGCGAGGGTGCTCTTGTTTTACTTTCCTACCCTAAATGCGTTGTTCCTTTTCCCCAGGAGAAAAAAACGTTACTAAAAGCCGGTGGGAGTGGGCGGAGCAGGAGATGGACGCTGCTCCCACCTCCAGCCGCCGGACACTGCACTGACTCAGGGCGCGTGGACTCGGGCTCACGTCTGGTTCCGCAGAAGCCCCCCGGGCACACACCCCTCCGCAGAGGGGGCCCGTTCCTGCCCCTCCTGTCCTGCTCACCTGCGACGCGCTCCAGACCGGCGCCTCGGGGGCCCTGAGCAGCGCCAACAGCAGCAGAGCGGGGACGAGGCACAGCCCACCCAGGACGGCCCCGAACCGGCGGCCCTGGACAGCGCCCGACGTGTCCAGATGGCCGCAGGCCCGACGGCCCATGGTGGACTCGCTGTGGGGTGCAGGGCCGCCTCGGGCAGCGTGACGCGGGGACCCAGGCCACGGAGCAGGGGCTGGGCAGGAGGGGAGGCGGCTGGCGGATCGGGTTACAGTCCCGTGGTGGGGCGGGGACCCGGCGCCTGTGAAGCGAACCAGCTGGCCCGTCCGGAGCGGACAGCGCGCACCCCCCAGCGGGGCTGCCGGACCCGGGCCGCGGGGTCTGCGGTCGAGGCCAGAACGTGGCCGGCAAGGTGGGGTCTGGGAATTCAGCAATCAGCCGCGACAGGCCAGGCGGCGAGGCTCACTGTGCGGAAGAGGGGTCCGTTGCGCCCCCTCCCTAGCTGGCTGGGGCTGAATGACCCTCTGGCTTTTCCCCCAATGGGACTCAGCCACTCCTTGGACCCCCAGTGTAATCTGGGAGCGAAGCCCCCATCCCGCCCCCAGGGGCCGAGCGTAGCTGGCTAGGACGCAAACCCGCCAGAGGGGAGGGACACAGCGAGGGGACGTGGCACTGAGAATGGGGGCGCCCAGGGCCAGAGGGGAGAGTCCGCCCGGGAGACGGGGCGGAGGAGATCCTAGGGGTCGTAGGGCGGTCTGGGAAGGGGCCGGCGGTCGACGGCGCCCCCATTAGGGGACCCTTGGGGAGTGTGCCAGCACCCGGAGTCTCAGGCCAGGCTCAGAGGGGAGGGGGTTGCGGGAGCTGGGGATAGGGAGCGGCAGCAGGCGCCGGGTGTGGAGTCTGGCATGGATCTGGGAGGAGGTGGTGGGGTTGGAGCTGTGTCCCAAGACCGGAAGCCCCGAAGGGGCGACGGGTGGCTGTGCTGGGTGGGCTAATGCGCAGGATGGAGGTGGACTCCAGGAGGGGCGGACTGCGGATGGGTGAAGCGGTGGGAGCTGGGAGACCAGAAGCTCCCAGCCAGATTCGGCCGCCGCGTCTAGTCCCTCCCAGGCCTCCGTGCAGCCTTTGGACCCCGGGTGACAGCACTGTGAAGGCCAGCGGGGTCAGGGCCAAGCAGAGGCGTCCGCTTGGCTGGGGAGCGCTGCGCGGGTGGTTCTTGGAAAGCGAGGGCCACCCGCTTCCCCCCTTCGTGACTACATATTTCCTCCAGCAAATGGACCTTCTCCATGCCCCCCACCCTCACCCCAGCTCAGAGGCCAAGACCTTGGTGACCACCCACCTACTCCCTACTAGTCCAGGACCCTCCACGAGGGAAGAATCCTCCGAACTCGGTCCAAACCTGAGCACCCACTCCCCGGCCCCGCCTTGTGTCGCCCACGGGGCAGTAAGGGACTGGCACAGGGTCCTGTGCTTCGGGCGGGGAGGGCTACCGCAGAGCTGCTAAGGGCCACCCAGAGTGTTTCAGGACGTGGTGTGGTCCCCGGGCCCCTCCCGTCAGGTCAGACCATAGCCAGAACGAAAAGGCCAGTGCCGGCACCGGGGCTGTTTCTGGAGGAGGCTGAGCGCGCGAGGGTGGAGGGGCGGACCCAGGCTCCCCTGGTCCCCGACACACACACCCTCAGCACTCCGGCAAGGAGCAGGAGGTAGAGTCCGAGAATCTTTTTATAAAATACAGGGGTTGACAGGGAAGTTGGGACAGGCCGCGGTGCTCACACGAAGATCTGGATGCGGTCGCGGATGGGCTGGCGGCAGATGGGGCAGGCGCTGAGCGCCGCTCCGCAGGGCGCGCACGCGCCGTGGCCGCACTGGAACACCAGGCGGATGTGGCTGTCGATGCAGATGGGACAGGTGATGCGCTCCTCCATCTGCCGGTAGCGGCTCTGCAACTCCTCCACCAGCTGCCGGGGCGGGCCGGGCACCGGAGTGGCATTCACCACCTCAGAGCCATCTGTGGGGACGCAGGAGGTGGCAGTCAGCCCCAGGAGGTGGGAAGCTCGCTGCACCCGGGACCCCGAGGTGTGCCCCTCCCACCCACCTGGGCGCAGCTTCTTGCTGATGACCACCTGGCACCTGATGCACTTTTTCATCCTGCGGGCGCACTCTGTCAGGGGCGGCGCAGCGTTAGTAGCGCTGGACGAGGGAGGCCGAGCCACCCCGGGCTTCCACGCCCCCACCTACCCTCGCACACGGTTCGGTGCTGGCACGGCGAGAACAGGACCAGCAACGCCAGCTCCGAGCACACCAGGCATTCGGCGGCTTCCGGCCCGGCCGTGCCAGCCACGTGCAGGTTCGTCACGGTGTTGGGCGTGCTGAGCACGTGCCGGGGGCCCGGTGCTGCACCCCCACCGCCGCCCGCCTGTCGCTCCCTGCAGTTGGAGGAGGGGGCTTGAAAGGGCCCAGTGGCCTTAAAGGTGGGCCCCCCCACCATGCCCTCTTTTCAGGCTCACCGGAAACGCTGGGCACAGCCCTGCAAGGCTTTGAGCACTCGGCTTTCTGCGGCCAGGTCGAGGGGGCTCTGGCCACGGTGGTTTGTGTAGCTCACGTCAGCACCCTCCAGTGTCAGGAAACAGGCCACTGCCGTGCCTACCGTCAGATCCGTGCTGCCCGGGAGGCCCAAGGCTTGTAGCTGGGCAGCACGATACACAGGTGAGGGTGAAAGTCCGCAGAGACTTAGAGACTTATACTGGGCTGCCCAGAAGCCCAAGCAAGGGGTGACTTCCCTCCCCACCACTGGTAACCCTTTCCTGTGTGAGGCCTCTGGTTCTAGGAAGAGTAAGAACAGACCCCATAGGTGCCCTTTAATAGACAACTACACTTCTGAGACACTTCATCCTTTCACCCCACTGGGCCCTAACCCTCTTCCCAGGTTGGTTTGGGTCTTAGAGGTTGGCTCCTGAAACCCAGCAGTCCTTCAAACTGACATTCAAGAAAGCCTGGCCCCTTGGAGCATCATGAGAGGAGGAATCACCCAGGCCCACCTCTCCAGTGCCCACTCCTTACTTCCTCACCCTGGACAGCAGCTGCAAGGGCCCTGGGTCCCCCCCAGCCCTGTCAGCCACCAGGGGCAGTAGCTGATGATGCTGCAGTGCCACATGCAGAGCTGTGTCTCCTTCCTCATCTTCAGTGTTTACACTGCAGCCAGCATCCACTAGCAGTGGTACGAGCCCCACATGGGCCTGCTGCACAGCCAAATGCAGTGGAGACTGGAGCTTCCGGTTGCGCACATTCACATCACAGCGACCCTGGAGAGGTGGGCAGAGGCTCAGCCCAAGAGACCACTGGACCTGGTTCTTGAACCCTGTGGCCCTGGGCTCCCTGCACCCACCTCTCTGATGAGGACCTGGGCCACCTCAAGGTGGTTGTTGAGAGCAGCCAGATGCAGTGCAGTAAAGCCATCCTCCTTCTTGGCATCCACCAGCTGCCGTGCCCGTGCCAGAATCTTCCTGACTGCTCTGTGGGGACAGAAAATCTGTCCAACATCTCCCCCAAGTAGCCTCCCTGGGTGCTCTGGATCAGGGTGGCCTGGCAATAGGGCAGGAGGCTGGCTGCCAGCAGAATCCCTGACCCCCCTACTCACAGCACATGGCCCTTGAGGGATGCATGGTGCAGGAGTGTGAAGCCCTGGCTATTGGTGGCAGTGACATCGATGCCAGGGACTTCGGTGAGGACTTCAACAATGCTGCTGGCACCCACACCCGCAGAGATTGCAGCATGAAGGGGTGTGTCAGCATGGGCATCCTATGGCAGAGGGGGCTGGTCATACAAGCAGTGCCTTTCTCCAGGGTCAAGCTGCCTCCTTGACCCAGGGTTTATTAATGGCAGGGCACTCAAGGATTGCCACTCACCGGCAAGTTAACATCACAGCCACGCTCACACAGAGTCTTTACCACCTCTAGGAAGCCCCTTTGCACAGCCACATGCAGGGCTGTGCTGCGGGTCCCATTCCGGACATCCACCCCACAGCCTGCACTCAGGAGCACCCTTGTGGCCTCAGGCTGGTTCCTAATGGAAGAAGTGGGAGAGGTAGAAGAAAGCCATTGTGCCCACTTGGCTCAAAGGCCATTCCCAGCAGGACCCACCAGCTTGCCCGGGCCTCACCCTAGAGCTGCATAGTGTAGTGCAGTGTTGCCCTCATCGTCCAGCAGGTCCACACTTGCCCTTGCTTGCAACAGCAACCGCACCAGCTCCACCTGTCCCAAGTAAGCAGCCACCTGCAGGGCAGTCCTGCCCTGGTTCTTGGTGTCCACCTGCCAGAAAAGCCAGCAAGTGAATTCTGGGCCCTCTGCTTGCTGGCCATCAGAAAGGGCTGGATGGGAGCTTGCCTGTTCTGGGTGCCTCCGTAGCAGGTCCAAAGCCCGGGCTACATTTCCCAGTGCAGCCTCTACCACCAGCCTCCCTGGGTGCTCTGGGTCATTCTTCTGGGTCCGCAGCTTGTCCAGGGCTACACTCAGTGAGCCTGGGGGCAGGGCTGACGTAAGTGCTGGCCAGGGGCTGCCCTGCCTCCCACCGGCCACTGAAGCTGATGCCGCACTTTTATTCTCCCTGGCACGCTCAGCCACGTCCAGGTTGGTGTCCTCCTCAGGCCGGTAGGCCACTAAGCAGGAGGGGCTGAAGGTCCACCGCTGACCGCCAACTGCCACACGCAGGTTTCCATCTCCAAATACCTTCACCACTTTCCCTACTCGGCCCAGGGCCTGAGAGAAAGAGGTCAAAGCAAGTTGGAGGGGGAGCAGACAGGAGTCTCTAGGGAAAGGTTGTGTGTGATGACAGACAAGATGACTCACAGGGGCCATGTCGTCTGTCCATTCACCATGTCCAGCCTGTAGTCGCTTCACAGTGTCAAGGTCATCGATGACCCGAACCACATCACCCACCCAGAAGTTGTTGTGCTGGATGACAGAGAGGCAGGTAAGGGGAGTTCCCCTAGACATTCGTGACTGCCCAGGGTCACAGAGGAGGGCATCTCCCTCCAGTTCCACAGGGTAGGTAGACCTGACCTTGACCCCAGTTCCTGCCCCAAGTACAACCAAAGATTCTGGCTAGCCCAGCCTGAGTCACCAGATGACAGCCACAGAGGCAGTGGGGCAACGGCATCCAAACCAGACCAAAGTCAGTTCTACAGCTGCATGAACGCCCAGGAGACCTGTTTTCAGGATCTGGATACCTATCCATTGACCAGATCCAAAGCAGCATAAAAAATGTGGTGTGGGCCTAGGACAGAGGGTGGGGCCAAAGAGGTGCAGGACCCTGGGATACCAGAGCAAGGCCAGGATGGATGGAGGGTGGGGCTAAGGGGGCTGTTATTCTTGCAGGGATACACGCACAGAACCCATGCACTTATCAACAGTGAAACCCTGAATGCTGCCTGTTCTTAAGTATCCTCTTCCAAATTCAGACAAGAGCACAGCCCCTGCCCCCATCAGTGTCCCCTCCTGGACATTCCCTCCTGCCTGGGACATGCTTTATCCCCCATGGCTTCCCACAAAGCTGAGTCCACTCCACGTGGTCCCCACCACTCTGCACAAGCCTACACCTCAGTCTTCTTGCAGACCATGTCTATCTGCCCCATGACACACAACAAGCATCGCAGGCAGCAAGCCCAGTAGCCCCTCTTCTAGCCCACCAAGCTGTCTACATTCTTTTTGTTCTCAGGACAGTCCCTGGCCCACAGGCTCCAGTCTCAGATATTCCCACCACCTCACTCTCCTCTGGGTCCTTCACACCTAGACCCCCTTCTACCCACCTGGCTCTCCCCTTCCTACAGGTCTGCAGACTCATGGGGAGGCTGGTGCCCTGGCTTGCCTAACCAGCCCTGCTTAACTACTCCCAAGGCTGAGCAGGTACATGGAGGGGATTATGCAGAAGCAATGGGTGGGGCTCAACCCAGCCCCCTAGGCACCTTGGTGAGAGCCCCAGGGTGGAAGGTCCAGCGGGTCTCATGGTTGAACTGCACACGCACGTCCCCACGGTCTGTGATGCGGTGCACGGTGCCCGTCTGTCCGATAAACTGTGGCGGGTCACGAAGGCTATGGCTGGGTCGGGCTGGACTCTCAGGGTAGGAAGAGGTATGGGGGTCCAAAGGACTTGGGAAGGGAGGGCACATGGGGACTCAGTAGGCAAGGTGGCTCACCTCCACCATCCTAGGGTTCCAGCCACCGTGGCCTTCTTGCATGTCCCTTAGGACGTCTGTGTCCAGCAGACATTTGACCTTGTCCCCACGCTGGAAGGGCTGGCCATCAGCACTCACCCTGCGTTGCAGCTCTGCTGGCTTGCCTAGGGGAGGGTGGCAGGCTAGGCCTCAGGCAGCAACCTGCCCCCCTTCCCCACAGGATATGCCAGGGCAACAGGTGCCCAGTCAGGGTAGGAAGGCAGCTAATGTTGGAGCCAGCCCCATACCAAGTTTTGGGAGGTGCTCCTTATAGTAAAAGCCACCAGCTGCCTCGCCGACACATTTGAGGTCCACCTTGCCCTTGTGGCCCACACGGTACACATTGGTAGTTCCATCTGCCCAAGTCACACTGGCCACGCTCCGACCTGTCTCCACATCCCAGCCACGGATGTCCACCACACGGCCTGGCTTCCCTTCTCCTCCTGGGGAAAGCGTCCACACCAGCAAGCTAAGAGTGTGCCTCAGGTCCAGTGATAGCCAGCTGCAGCCCAGTTTTATCTCCCTATCCCCACTGCAGCCACCACTCACCATCTTGTGAGCCCCACTCCCAGTCAGGGCCTCGTACCACCTTTGCTCCTTGAAAGATACCCCTTAGTGGGATTCGAGGGAGGCCCTGGCGAGGACTCAATGTGACCCTGCAAGAGAATGAGTCTTGAGCCACGCGGAGTGGTGTGAAGGTCAGACCCTGCCCTACCCGCCTTGCTCCTCTATCCTAAGGACCCTGTTCACAGCAGCGTCTATAGGATGGGTGTCCTTGAGCCCATCAGGTCAGTGCCCTCCACAGTCTGGGAAAGGATTCATGGAAACAAGCCATCCAATGCCTCTGGGCTCAGAGACCTTCATCAATGCCAGACTGGGGATATGGGAAGACCCTCAGACCCTCAGCCTGTGACCAGTCCTATGTGTGCTGCCTCTTAAGGAGAAGGCCTGACCCAGAGAAGGGAGAACACAGTCTGACCACCAACACAGAGAGCTGCCCCTTGGTGACCAACAGCTGGGACCTAGACCACATTTCTCCACACACAGGAGAGATCAGAGAGGCACAGGAGCAAAGGATGGACGAAATGTTTGCCCGAGTCCAACAGAGACCTATGTCCCAGCCCATACCCTCTGACCACAGCCCAGTGACTGCATCAGGCCAGAGCTACTATGAGCTGTGCCTATGGGCTGACCCCTAGGGTGAGAAGCCTCCCTGCCAGGCTTGGAACCTCCAAGGGATGCTGTATGCCTTGACCAACAGCTACTGCTGCCCATGTGGCCACGTATACACCACCTTCAGCACCCAGACCGCAGCTGTACTAAGGAGTCATGCCTGCCTGGCTCTGGGGGAAGGCAGCAGAGAAAACCCTGCCCACAGTACCCACCTCATGGATCTGCTCGGGGACAGATGCCTTCTGTGGGGCTAGTGTCAATTCTCAAGCCCCTAAAGTAACCATGATCCTGGCTATTCTTCAAGGGAGCCCCTAAAGTAACCATGATCCTGGCTATTCTTCAAGGGGGTACTTGCCAGGTACTTTGGGGAGTGACTCAGTCTCCAGGAGCCAAGGCCTGGCTGAGTATCTAAGGCACCTGTCACAAGGCCCTGAGAGAGTGGGGGGGTAGGCTGTGGCCTGGGGAACTCACGGACGTGAGTGGGCTGTCTCATAGCGCTCGAAGGCATGAGTAAGGTCATGTCTGTTGTGCATGTAGCACTGTGTGCAGAGGTCGTAGTCAAAGCAGACACGGCACTTCCAGCGCATGCCTCGAAGCCCATGTTTCTTGCAGCAGTCACAGATGATGTTGGGGTGGCGGATACCTAGGAGCAGCATAGTGTCAGCAAGGACCTGCTGGCCTCCTGTCACCTGGCTAGCCCCATCCACAGGTCCCACCCACAACTGGGCATCTCCACGCACCAATCTGGGCATTGTCGTAGAGCAGCAGGTCGTGGGCACCCTGGTAGCCAGCGCGATAGTTGGTGCGTGTGCCCTGGTCCCACTGAACGACAACTGTGCGGTCGGGGGTCGAGGGGCTGCCATGGCGGCCAAGCTCCACCACAGTGCCCACGCCGCCCTCACCTCCATCCTGCTGGCCCCATTTCCAGTCCACTCCGCGCACCACACGCATGCCCACCTGCACGCCAGCCTGGGGGTCTGGGTCCATGGCGAGTAGGATTGCTCAAAGACCTGAAGCAGAGAGTACTCTCAGCCATATCAGAAAGCCATGTGGCCAGCCTAACCACTGGGCACCTGTGGAGAGTGCTGCCTGGGAAAGAAGGATGGGTCTGGAGCAGAGAGAACTAAGCCGAGACAAGAGAGTGAAAAGGATAGCATGCATAGGTGGCCCTGGGCTGGAAAGCCAGAGTATGGGCATACAGGCCAGGATCAGAAGGGGCCAGCAGAGAAGGTGGACAGGAAACACGGCCAGGAAGTAAAGGGCTGAAGTGGGAACATCACAAACAGACTGGCCCAAAGGATCAGAGACCAGACCTGGTACAGTGTGGACACATGCTAGTGACTCTGTTTCCAGAAGTCTATGCAAGATGTTCCATCAATATATGTATGCTTTAAAGCTAATAGGTATGGACTGTAGATATCCATGTGAAAGATAAGACCACTCAGCTTTCAGAAGACAAGACTATTTTTCTGTGCAGCTCAGTGATATGTGGGACTGGACTGAAAGACTGTTGTTTAATAAGATACCATGAAGCAACAGAATAGGTGACCACGTTTGCAGCGTACAATCTCCCAAAGAACTCCCACAGGTTGTATGAAAAAGCTACACGAACAGAAAATGGGCCAGACACAGAAACACACTGCAGGATACCCAATACACATGGTATGTTTCATCACCAGAACACTGGTCACATGTCACAGGGTGCCTGTCCCATGTCCTTCAGGGTGAATTAGTCCTGCAATGTTTAGTGCCCAAGGGAGCAGAAACTCACCTTTGCTATATAGGGCAGCAGAACAAAGTTCACAAATGGACACAGAAAGGCAGTAGTCAAACCCAAGAGTGCCCACACAGTGATTCCATTCATAGGAAGTTTGCAAAAGGGGACAGGCAAATGGAGCCAGCGATACCAAGCCTTAGCATTCTACACTGTGCTGACCATTAATAAAGTCTTCTTAATATGAACACGGTCTTTCCTAGGTGGCCTCAAACTCACTATCCTCCTGGGGCTGGAGAGATGGCTCAGCAGTTAAGAACACTGGTTGTTCTTATAGAAGACCCAGGTTCGAATCCCAGCACCCACATGGCAGCTAACAACTGTCTGTAACTCCAGTCCCAGGAGATCCAACAGCCTCTTCTGACCTCCTCTGGCATTGCATGACACAGGTGCACTTACCTCCATGCAGGCAATACACACATACACATAAAATAAAAATAATAAATATAAATTTTTAAAAAACCTCACTATCCTGCTTCAGTCTTCCAAGTGCCAACACACCTGCACCTGGCTACACAAGTGAATTTCAAAGACAGAACCTGACAGACAGGATGTTACCAGGCTCCTGCCAACTCCAACTGGGACCCAGTGGCCCTACTCAGCCATGGGACAGAGAACAGGACAGAGGCCATCCCATGGCTAGGTGAGCAAGAGGAAGATAGCACACACCAGGCCTCGACTTGAGCCCCCCTCCAGGGTCCCTGTCTTTGTCCCAGACTTATACTTAGCCTCCTGGCCAGCCACTTCAGGAAATAGCTTCTTTCTTCTTCCACAGAGGAAGGCCCAGCCCAGACCAGCCACAGTGAGAGGTCATGGTGAGAATGCCCACGGCTCTTTGGCACTAGCGAGACCCTGACTGAGAGAGGGTCTTGTGGGCCTGGCAGCTGGCTCTGCTCCTCCACACCTGTGTCAACTCACCTCCCGCAACCTTAGCTGACACAGGAGTCTGACACAGGTGTGGCCAGAACAGTCCTTTGCTGCCCTTTAATCAGGCAGCAAGCTTACAAGGGCAGCCACCAAGTCCATTCACTGCCACAGCCCATATCTGGCCAGATCCAGCCCTTGCCAGCCTCAACAATGACTAAATGGCTGAGAATGAGTGAAATACAAAGCAGCGAAATCTTGTGCTTGGCTCCTGTGACAACTCACAGACCCTGGGCCTTGGTGACCCAACCAGCCCAGGCCCTATCCACCCAACCCAAACGCTGTGTGTTTATTTCAAGCCAGGTATTGTGGCTTCACCTTGAGGGGAGGGCACAGGTACATCAGCTGGCCCAGTTCTACTGCCCCTCCCTGGTAAGGCCATCACTATCCTACTAGGGGTATCATGCCCTCCTTCCCTAGCGGAACAACTTCACACCACCCAGTCTCCAGGGCCCCCAACCCCAGCGGTGCCATCTCCTGGGCCCTTGCAGTGATTTCAGATTCTTTCCACGTAGATCCCCACAAAATGTAGACATCGAGACATCGCTAGGCTGGGCGTTCCCTCCTCACTCCCAGCATTCTCTGCACAGGGAACCTCCTTGCACGCATGACTGAGGCAGGGAAAGATCAAGACAGTGACCTGCAGGCATAGTGGCACTGCTCTGTACAGACACAGGTGCTGGCCCTGCCAGGCTGCTTACCTCCACTGAGGCCACACACACCTTCCTTCATGCCACCAGAGCTCAGCATAGTTGGAATAGACTTGCTGGGGGGACTATTCTACTCCAACACTCCTGCTTAGTCAAAGCAAGGATTGTTACAGGCAACCCTAGACTCCAACAAGGGACTCTAACAGACCCAACTGGAGGCTCTGCTAGCAGGAAAATACCCTGACTGCCACCCCCTGGACCTGGCCTAGCACAGGAAAAAAGGGAGGAAAACCTAATTGTTAAAGTCAGGTGCTAGTGCACACCTGCAATCCTGCACTCGGAAGGTTGAGACCAGCCAGAGCTACATTGCAAAACCCTATCTCAAGATGTGGGGCAGGAAAGGAGGGAGAGAAACAGACCCTAGTGCTATGAGCTAGTACTGTGGTCACACTGGAGCTGTGTAGCATGTCCCTGTCAGCCCAGCCTATCAGCCAAGGCCAGCCCGGAAGGCATGGCAACACCCACTTTAGGCCCATCATTCCACTAGCCACTTGACTCTAGGTCTCTCTCTCTCTCTTTTGTTTTTTGGGCTTTTTTTTTTTTTTTTTTTTTTTTTTTTTTTTTTTTTGTCTTTTTGAAGCAGGGTCTCCCTGTAGCCACAGCTGTCCTGGAACTATGTAGACCAGGCTGGCCTCGAACTCATAGAGATCCGCCTGCCTCTGCCTTCCAAGTGCTGGGACTACAGGTGTACGCCACCATGCCTGGCCTTATTTATTTATTTGTCTTTTTTTTTTTTTTCTTTTTTTATGGTCTTTTTGAGACAGGGTCTCCCTGTAGCCCCAGCTGACCTGGAACATGCTGTGTAGACCAGGCTGGCCTTGAACTCACAGAGATTCACCTGCCTCTGCCTGGGATTAAAGGCGTGCACCACCACACCTGGCTAACACTAGGTCTTTTACAAAACATGGAGGTGGAAATCAAGCATGAGAACAAGCATGTGTGGCCCAACCTTTAGGAGAATGGGCCAGGGCAGAGAGCCAAGGTGGAGGGTTCCCAGCAAGGTCTGGGGAAATCAGGACCAGGCCTCAGCCAAGAACTGCACATAAGGCAGTGGGAAGGCCACCAAGCACTCTAGCCTGTCAGTGGCCTGAGCTGACCAGCTCCTGCCTACTCATCAAGCCTGGTATTTTTAGCAAAGTCAGACAGCTTTCCTCAGCCTTGGCCAGTGAACTGCCACTGTCCCGAGGGCTGTCCCTAGCAAAGTCAGAATACAACACATAGAATACAGAAAGGGCTTCTTGTTCAGAGCCAGCACCCACTGATGCCTAGGGCTGCCCCAAGACTGCAGGAGCCCAGACTCAGGAGACTTCTACTACCACAGTCTGGAGTGTGAACACTGAGAAGTACTAACCTTGGCAACACCTACAAGCTGGAAGCCTATGTTGCCTTCCCTCCAGTACCTCTATTCCAGAGGGTTCAGGGTCCACCCTCTGCATCAGAGGTGGCACTATACCCAGCATGGTTTCACTTGACTGAGATCTTCTCTCCTGAGTGTGACCTATAACAATGCCTCTAAACTGCTCTCGCAAACATAATCACGACAGGAACAGAAAGAAAATAGGGCTCAGTAGCAGCTGGATCTGGCATTCTGGGACCCTCGTAGGAATTTCAGTGGCTTTCCCTGGCCTCTTCCTCCAGGCCTCCCAGCTCGGTCTCTGTTATTGTTATCCAGCTGCCATCAGCATCCCAATTCCTTGGCCTCAGGGATCAGGACAACTCACCAGGGATCAGAGATGTGATCTAGGCAGGCTGGCAAGGAAGAGGTCTCTAGTTGAGACTCAGCTTTTGTTCTCACCTAGGTCTTCCTCTTTGGATGGTATAGGAACCATGGGGGACATTTCAGAATGGTGTTTCCTTTCTTTCCTTTTTTTTTTTTTTTTTTTTGGTCTTTTTGAGACAGGGTCTCCCTACAGCCCCAGCTGGCCTGGAACTTGCTCGCTCTGTAGACCAGGCTGGCTTTGAACTCACAGAGATCCACCTGCCTCTGCCTCCTGAGTGCTGGGATTAAAGGCATGTGCCACCATACCCAGCTTATTTTTATTTTTTTAATGTGTATGAGTATATTGCTTGCATGTATGTAAGTGTACCTGTGTTGTGCAATGCCTGAGCAGGTCAGAAGAGCGTTAGATCCCCTGGAACTGGAGTTACGGACAGTTGTTAGCTACTATGTGAGTGCTGGGATTCAAACCTGGGTCTTCCACTGCAAGAACAGCCAGTGCTCTTAACTGCTAAGCCATCTCTTCAGTCCTCCCCGCCACAATGGAGTTTTCTAATAAAAAAGGTTTCCCTGATCATGGAATTGGCACTGCCAGTCCCAGAGCTGAGTCAGGAGGGAAGTTGGCCCCCTAGGGCACTGAATGCACCACCAGGGCGAAGGACAATGAGCCTGCTGTGTCTATCTTCTGAATGACTCCAAGAAGTGGCCTGCACGTCTAGATAGTACCCTGTGCCCAGGCTAGTCATGCTGCATTCTACAGGTGAGTCTATGCCCAGTGTGCCTAAGGAGAGAAGTCCCTGATGAAGGGTGAGGGAGGGGGGCCTGTGCTAGAGACAGCACAGCCCCTCTGGGATAGATGCACTCACAAGGAATCTTACTACTTACTACCCCTTCCTAGACCTGCCCTGCAACAACCTCCTGACAACCACCACAAACCAACTCTTTCCAGCAGCCTCTGCCAACCTGCTCCCACCTTCCTGCCCTAATGCCCACAGGCCCCAGAGAGAGGAAAGCACTGTGTGCCCTGTGTGCCCTAAGTGTCCTGCAACCTGCGAAAGTTCCCTGAGACAGCAGCAGCCTTGAAGGCGCCCCAGCCCTGTGTATATCTGGAAGCACTACCCTGAAGCTCTACCTTGTACAATCCAAGAACTGTAGCCACTATAACCCAGGCATACAGGCCACCTTACTTTCAATCCACAGGAAATGTCACCAAACCCTACTTGAGAATGCTGAATGCCACAATGTGTTGTGTACACCATCATCTCAATATGAAATTTACCTACAGAGTTAATGTACTTTTTCCTTTGCCAACAATGCTGGACTCTACCATCTACCCCACAGACACAGCCAATTCCCTGGTCAGTATCAGAACATCCCTGGAGCTGTAGATATTTACAATGAGAGTGGCAAAGTCAGAGTATGAGGACTTGCTTGACAAATGTGCTTCAGCAAAATCAGAACTCACCTCAGAGCACACAGCAGCCTCGAGTCAGCAGCCCAAGCACTTAGTCGCTACTTCCTGGGCCACAAATTTGCTCAGCTACCAAAACTTCCTGTGGGAAACTATCAGGCATTGCCAACACAGAACACAGCAAACCAAGCAGGTAGGCAGGGAGCCAGGCTGGGGAAAGATGGTTTTAGATGTAGTTTTACATACAGTTATTTACCACTGTAACCAGACAGTGGCTATGAGGGCTGCTGTTACCACCTGTGTTTCTTCCCACAAGAAACAAACATCTCCTTTGAGGAGTTGGAACTATCAGGACAGTGCAGGACAACACTGTCCTTCCCCTTATTTGTGAATATTTATTGGGAAGTCCCAAAAAGCCATAGAAATTAAATCATGTTTATTGTGGAAGTTAGCCTTTATTCAGAAGAATAAAGTTACATGACACAGAGACCACACAGGACTCAAGGCTCATCTCCCCACACATCTGGCTGTGCCTGAACTGACACACTGAACTGCTGAACTGACAACCAATATGTGGCAAAAACTGGTGCATCCCGGCCAGGCAGGTGGATGTGGATATCGTGGGTACCAGTGGAGTCAGAGAATGACAACCTACGACAGAGGTCAAGAAACCAGATCTGCCTTGCATCAAGACACTTGCTGGGGGAGAACCCATAAGGTTCGGGGTGCCATCGCTGCTAATCTTGGCCATCTTGCAGGAGAGCTTCAGGCATACTGCAGTTTGAGGTTCACCCCACTCCCTAGGACTGACCTTGGATGGGAGAGTGACATTCAGAGACTTGTTGCATCTGGAGCAACAGGCCAGAGTGGGATGTGCAGCCAGGAAACCACCTAGGAGGAACCAATCTTGCTCTGTCCCCAAGCCGCCTGGAACTCATCGGGAGCCTGCCTGGCATCTCTGCTTTTCTCCATTGGTCTCTGAACCCAGAGGAGACGGGCAGGACGATTTCTCACTGCCCTGTCCACACACGCACATTCAGACACAAACACAAGCCCTGACACCATGAGCCGGCATCTGCAAGGTGAACGCACCAAACCCGAACCATCAGGCCACAGCCGGTTCAGAGCTCACCTGTCTGGCGGTCCATGGATCCCCCACCCCCGCCTTCAAAATCGCGCAGCAGCCCTGATGCCTGGAGATTTGGGACTGGCCTCCGCCGGGCTGAGATTGCCCGCGAGCCCCAAGAGATCCAACCCTGTGGCCAGGGGTGCGGAGACCACAGTAAACACCTGCCACTAGACCGCGGTCACCCGGAGTCTGGCAGCCAGGGCCCGCTGCACCACCCTCGCGCACCGGGCACGCGCACCGGGCACGAGCTGCGTCCGAGAGCTAAGGACGCGAAGCCCGCCGCGCGCCAGGGCCGGGGACACCCGCCAGAACCGCAGCCCCCGCCAGGCCGACCTGGCCCTCGGCCCCGTGCCACCGCTCCCGGTCCCCACTTGCCCGGAGTTTCCGCCCCCGCTCCGCCCGCGGCACCGCCGAGGCTGACCGCCGATCCTCGGCGCCTGCAGCAACCGGCGGCCCTCCGCCCCCCCCAACGGCGCCAGGCCAGACTGCCCCGCCCGCGCAAGCCCACCCGGCCGCCCGCGCCTGCCCCCGCTCGGGTCCCGGGCCGCCGCACGGCCTGCCGGGAGTTGTAGTCCGGAGCGCCTGGCTGGGGGCGGGCAGACATCTCCCAGGAGGCCCCGCGCGTGACGTACGCGGCGTCGGGACACAGGGCCCGAATGGCTCTGGCTTGTTTGTCTAAAGAGAAACTGGAAACGTGTTTGCGTCCCAGCAAAGCAGGACGCGTTCATGGAAGAGGACGGGGTGGAAAGAGTGGGCACGGAAGAGGCAGGATGCGCGCAATCCTGCCTGCAACTGCGTCCTCTTGCGCCTGCGCAGTGCAAGTTCCCGGGACGCATTCTGTTGCCGTGGAGACGGAGGTTCTCGGTGACGTCAGAGATGCCGCGAAAAGCCGTCGTCAATTCGTCTGTTTTCCGGTTGGATTTTTTTTTTTTTAATTTATTTAAAGATAGACCCCAGAGATCCGCCTACCTTCCGCCTCTGAGTGCTGGAATTAAGGTGTGCACCATCACGTCCTGCGCGACTTAATTCGTTTTAAAATCAAAGTAGTACCATGTTTTTGGTTTTTTTTCCTGCAAAGCTGGGAATGGAAACTACGGATCTCCTGCATGCTAGGCAAGCGCTCCACCACCGAGCTGCACTCCCAGCTCCAGCTCCTAGTTTTAATTTCTACTGGGCTGAAGACCACGGAAAGCAATCATCCAAACTTTTGTGTATCTTAGTGCTGTGTGCTTCTCCTTAAGGTCATGACAACGTGGTTCTCCAACAATCCCTGTCCACGTCTTGCTCAAACGGGTATGGTACTTGGTGACTTAACTGCTCACCCACTTGCTAAAATGGTCATGTTACCTGGCTAACTTGTCTTAACTGTTCCCTTGCCCGGCTAACTTGTCTTAACTGTTCCCTTGCCCAGCTAACTGTCCAAGATCATGCCCCTACTGTGGACTGCCATGCATGGAACCAGACCACCATTCCTACAGTCTTGGTTTTTCTTTTTTACATTTATTTACTTTGTGGCTTGTGAGTGCAAGCGCCATGGCCAAAGTGTGGAACTCAGAGTCTGTTCTCTCCTTCCACTGTGTGAGTTCTATCAATGAAATTCAGATCCTCAGGCTTTTCTCAAGTGCCTTTACCTGCTGAGCCATCTCACTGGCCTTTTTTATTTTTTATTTTTATTTATTTTTTTTTTCATTTTTTTTTCTCATTGCAGCTGGTTTGTTTGTTAGTTTGTTTGTTTGAAGCAGGGTCTCCCTGTAGCCCCACCTGTCCTGGAACTCACTATGTAGAACAGGCTGGCCTTGAACTCACAGAGATCCGCCTGCCTCTGCCTCCCAAGTGCTGGGACTACAGGCATGCGCCACCACGCCCGGCCTTATTTTTTATTTTTTGAGGCAACATCTTATTCTTACCCAGCTGTCCTGAAACTTACTATGGAATACAGCCTAATGTCAAACTCTGGGCAATATTGCCTCAGGCTCTCAAGTGCTAGGATTTATGGGTGTGAACCACCTCACCCTCCTGGCTACAGTTTTGTTTTTTCTTTTGAGTTAGTAGCTTTCTAGTTTGTTTGGGTGGGTTATTTTTGTTTATGCAGGGTCTCCTATAGCTCAGGTTGGCCTCAACCCTTTAAAGGCCTTTTTTTTTTTTCTCCCCATCTTTTTGAGACAGGGTCTCCCCTGTAGCCCCAGCTGTCCTGGAACTCACTATGTAGACCAGACTGGCCTTGAACTCACAGAGATCCACCTGCCTCTGCCTCCTGAGTGCTGGGATTAAAGGCGTGCGACACCACGCCCAGCTTAAAGGCCTTTTTAAAAATAAATTTGTTTATTATTTTTATTTTATGTGTATGAGTGTATTGCCTGCGTATATGTGAGGGCGCCTATGTTGTGCAGTCCCGCCACGGAGGTCAGAAGAGGGCTTTGGATTCCCCTGGAACTGGAGTTCCAGACGGTTCGTAGCTGTTATGTGGGTGTTGGGAATCGAACCCGGGTCCTCTGCAAGAGCAGTCAGTGCTCTAACCACTTAGCCATCTCTCCAGCCCCTTAAAGGCTTTTTTTTTTTTTTTTAAATATAAAGACTGTGTTAGGTGAAAGGTCAGTGAGAAGAAATGACAGACAAGGGAATGAAGGACTTAAGACAGAACAGAGGGGCCAAAGAGATGTCTCAGCAGCTAAGAACCCACTGGCTGTTCTTGGCAGAAGACCTCGGTTTGAATCCCAGCTTCACAACCAACTAACCAACAACCAACAACAGTCCTTAACAACAGTTCCAGGAGATCCAACATCCTCTTCTGTCCTCCACAGACACTGCATGACATGGGTGCACCTAAACACACATGCAGGCATAACACTCATACACATAAAAAATAAAAATAAATCAAGGCCTGATGTGGTGGCGCACACCTTTAGTCCCAGCACTCGGGATGCAGAGGCAGGCGGATCTCTGAGTTTGAGGCCAGCCAGGTCTACATAGCATGTTCCAGGCCAGCTGGGGCTACAGGGAGACCCTGTCTCAAAAAGACCAAAATAAATGAATAAATAATTTAAATAGCAGGCTTTTATTTGGAGGAAAAACCTATACAGAAAGTTTCTATAAAAATCAGAGCTCACTGGTCACTTACAATCTAGGGAAGCTATGGGGCAGAAAGGGAGGGGCAGGCAAGGAAGTTGGACAGTTTCCTTTTTTGGTCCAAGGTTAGCCTTTGCTGAGAGTGACCAAAGTATACTGAGTGGTGAGCAAAAGACTGTGTGGTGATAGAGAGACATCTCTTGTGGGCAGCCATGATCAGGGATCTGCTGGGGTGTGTGTGGCAGGAATCTGGGCTTTGGTTCTCGAATGCTAATTACTGTGCTTTGGAGGACGTTGTTACCTTTTAACTAAAATGGAAGAGCGGTTCAAGTGGTATGCCTATGGCTAACACTACCAAATGTAGGGCTTCATGCATGATAGGCAAGTCTCTACCAAATGAGCCCAGTTTTCCAATATTTTTAAATACCTAGCTTTTTAAAAAATTTTTATTTATTATTTTTATTTTATGTGTATGAGTGTATTGCCTGCATATAGGTAAGTGCACCTGTGTCATGCAGTGCCCGAAAGGACAGAAGAGGCCGTCGGAGTCCCTGGAACTGGAGTTACAGATAGTTGTTAGCTGCCATGTGGGTGCTGGGATTTGAACCCTGGCCTTCTGCAAGAACAACCAGTGTTCTTGACTGCTGAGCCATCTCTCCAGCCCCGATACCTAGCTTTTTTTTTTTTTTCCAGTCCTTTTTGAGACAAGGTCTCTCTGTAGCTGCAGCCTGCCTGGATTCACTAATGGAGACCAAGCTGGCCTCGAACTCACAGAGATCCGCCTGCCTCTGCCTCCCAAGTGCTGGGATTAAAGGCATGCACCACCACGCCCAGCATATACCTAGTTTTTTTTAAAATAAATTAATTTTTTATTTTTTATTTTTATTTTTATGTGTACAAGTGTATTGCCTGCATGTATGTGAGTGCACCCATGTTGTGCAATGCCACAGAAGGTCAGAAGAGGGCTTTGGATTCTCCTGGAACTGGAGTTAAGGACAGTTTGTAGCCGCCATGTGGGTGCTGGGAATCAAACCTGGGTCCTCTGCAAGACCAGTCAGTGCTCTAAACCGCTGAGCCAACTCTCCAGCCCAGATACCTAGCTTTTTACTAATCTGAGCTGGCTCATTTCAAAATGCTCCAATATTTTTGCCTCTGTGTAACATTTTCCAAATTCTATATGGTTACTACAGACCTCACAAAACCTTCTGTCCTAGACCACACAACTTTGGGTGGGAAGCTTTTCTCTACTAGCCTGTGTTCTGCCTTCCTGTTTCCAGCTCTCCATTGCCTAGACTCTTTCCTCTTGGTTTACTCTTACTTTGCCGAAGTCAGTCTTCTAATGGCCTGGGAAGGATACATGCCTACATGTATGTTTATTCTGCTGGGTGGGTTCCCCCAGGCTCCCCTTCTATATTTTTTTCTTGGGGGTGTGGGTTTTTTTTAGATAGGGTCTCACTATATAGCACTGGCTGGCCTGGAAGTCACTATGTAGACTACGCTGGCCTTAAACTCACAGAGATCCACCGGCTTCTGCCTCCCAGGTGCTGGGATTAAAGGCGAGCACCACCACGCCCAACAAGGCTCCCCTTCTTTATGTGGATTTGGACTCCCTCCATGCTGTTCTTTGTATTCTCTGCAGGCTTGAGAACACAACCTAGGCCTTGAACGTTCCCAGATTGTGAGCCACTTACCTAGGTTGTCACCCGAAACACTGAAGATCAAACATGTTGCTAGACACCTAGGAACCAGCCCCTTGCCCTGAACCGAATTGCTTAAGCCCTCATTTAAATTTCCTTCAGTGGGCTTTGTAGACATACCTAAGTAGAACATTTTATCTTTCACAGTCTGCTTGAGGACGATCTGTAGCCCTGGATCAGCAGATGCCCCTAACAAGTACTTTAACACTTAGGACTGCCTTATTTGGAATCCTAGCAGACTCCTTCTCAGCAAGGTTTGGGCAATCCCTTGAAGGGACTCTCCTGCTACTACTGTAGTGGTAGTAGTTGGTATAATCAGCAGAATTCCAAAGAAATGTGCTGGAGAAAAGAAAATCTGACCCAGGAGACTCCAGGGTGGCAGACAGGACCCTTGAGCAAGCTGCCATAGCCTGCTATGGTCACAGATACCCTAGGAATACACAGGTTTCTAGCAGTGTCAGACTTAGGAACCTGGCAGCAAGCTTGAAACTGGAAATGCCAGTGGGGAAGTCCAGCTCAGGAAGCCTTGGCTGGCAGCTCTGCTGTGGGCAGCATCCCAGCAACAGAACTCAAGAGGGAAAAAGTGCAATGGGCAAGGCCTGCCTTCAGCTGCCTCATGGCTGCTACCACTGTTCTGCCGCCTGAGGGTCTTTGGGCAAAGTAGCAGGAACCTCACTGTCAGTCAGAAGCCAGCTGAGCTGGAATTGGAAATCATGCAGGCTGAGACCAGTTGGTTACCACTCGCTTGTCTCCCAGATGTGGACCAGCGTGGCAGCCCCACCATGACAGGGTTGCCAAGGTTTCCTTGAGTAGGGGACCATTCATAGGACTGGAGGACCCTAGGGAAATAATGATTCGATGCTGGCCTCAAAACAGCCATAGGCAGCTGGGTGCGGTTACTCGCACCTTAATTATAGCACACTGCAAGTTGAGGCAGGAGGATTGTTGTGAGGCCATCCTGGGCTACATGGTGAGTTCCAGCTCAGCCTGGACCCATCTCAAAGACCAACCAAACAACTTCAAAATAGTCATAGGAAAGCTCAGTCCCAGCTCTGATGGAAAGCTAAACAGAAGCCTGTGGTGTTACCATACTGTGCAAGGGTGGTATATGCAGATCAATATCTCCTCCTGAGAGGTCCAAAGGAACAATA